ATTAAAACCCATTCACACCATTCATGGCCAGATCTCGCCAAATCGCAACAGCGAGATCAACGGCCCCAGGCCTGCTGGAAGAGCCAGGTCTTCACCGCTTTTCGGAAGGCCAATAGGGTGGGGATGGTCCGGACCTCAGGAGGTAACTGGTTCCAAAGAGCTGAGGCAGCCACAGAGAAGGTCTTTCCCCGCAGGCCCGCCAGCCGGCATTGTTTAGCTGACGGGACCCTGAGGAGACCAACTTTTTGCCCTTCCTGGGCTCCGGAGGATTTTCTCGAGCCTCTGAGAGGGCAAAAACAGACTCCCCGGGTTCCGGAGGCGTCCTGGAACTTCCAGTAGGCCTGTTTTCACTCTTCACGAGCCTCCGTGTGCACCCTGCACTTACCTGCATTCAAAATGGGCCGCGTGGGGACTCCTGGGAGGGGTGGGGTGGGCGGGGCCAGCCAGGAATGGGATTTGGGGGTTCTTTGAACTGCACAGAATCTAAGTAGAGGTTCTCCTGAACTGCTGCGAACCCCCAGCAGCCCATCCCTGAAGTAGAGCCTGTTCTCTGAACAGAGCTAACCGTTTTGAAACATGATCCCATACTAATAATCTAACCCCCTCCTCTTAGCACCATTGTCTCAATTCACAGATTACTACTACTCAGTTCTACCTAATTGGTATGCTACTGGCATTTCTATGAGAAAGCTACCTGGTGTGACCTTTTCCTACAGTGGGATTCAATCCTCCTTGAATGCTAAGGTATTACGGCTGGAGTAGATGCAATTGTTTCATCCTTGGAGGCCACTTTTCTAACCTCTTTTACTTTCTCAGCTTCTCCAATTCAGCCTCGAATGAGCTTGCTTCTTGAAAACCATGAACTCAGTGAACCAAATCATACATCCATGGCTTCTATCTTGCAGGGAGATAAATATACATAGAATGTTTGGTGCAATAGATTGAATAACCCCTAAAAGTCTCCAACTGTATATCTAGTTTACTAGCTTTTTTTTTATTTAGACAATTGGAATTTTGTAAATTACTGGGGGGACAAAAGTTCAAATGTCCTGGCTTTTTTGCCCTGCTGTCAATCTTGCTAGGGCATTTAAATTACAGGTCTATTTCACTGCAATTTATAAAGAGGTATTGAAGAAATTTCAAACACCAAAGAAATCATTGTTTCTGCTTCACTGATTCGAACAATACATTTAGCCAGTTCTTCGAAATGATTAAAAAAAAATGCATGACTGGATTTTTGGTCCCATGGAACAATAGTAGGATAGAAGCCATGGGTATCAACTTGCCCAATGGTCCATCTTTTCCATGGGAAAAAATTAGATATTTTGAAGAATACAAAGTGGTTGGTGATTCTTGGCTTCTTTGCCCCACCTCACACCAGGGATGAAATCCAGCAGGTTCTGGCAGGTTCTGAAGAACCGGTAGCAAAAATTTTGAATAGTTTGAAGAACTGGCAAATACTACCTCTGGCTGGTCCCAGAGTGGGGTGGGAATGGAGATTTTGCAATATCCTTCCCCCAGGAATGGGGTGGAAATGGAGATTTTGCAGTATCCTTCCCCTGGAGTGGGGAGGGAATGGGGATTTTGCAGTATCCTTCCCCCTGGAGTGGGGAGGGAATGGGGATTTTGCAGTATCCTTCCCCCAGGAGTGGGGTGGGAATGGAGATTTTGCAGTATCCTTCCCCTGGAGTGGGGAGAGAATGAGGATTTTGCAGTATCCTTCCCCTGGAGTGGGGAGGGAATGAGGATTTTGCAGTATCCTTCCCCTGGAGTGTGATGGGAATGGAGATTTTGCAGTATCCTTCCCCTGCCACGCCACCAAGCCACACCCACAGAACTGATAGTAAAAAAATTTGAATTTCACCACTGCCTCACACCCCATGGAAAAGGTTTTGTACACTCAAAGGGGTGTGGAAATCTTTACTGTGACTACTGTTCCTTTGTAGTCTGTAGCTGAAACAGTAACTTGATAATGCAGCCTTATATGGTCCTTTTAGAAGTGTAGGGAGCATTCAGGAGGATTTTTGCTCTTTAAAAATAAAAACGCAGAGATGAACCCAAACATTTTCAGAAGTACTCTCCCCTCAAACCAGAATGTTGTGGAGCTCCTGATGCTCTCTGATGTGTCCTGATGATGTTACCTAGTTTGGGGGGTAGGAAACTCCCAACTAGGCAGGAAGGAGGATCCAAGCAGGGAACTAGCCTTGAGTCCTTGCACAGCATAAGTCTGAGCCCCCCTAAGTTCCATGAAATGTTATTTAGTTACCTGGGAAAGAAAGTAGTCTGGGAAGATTCTTGTAATTTAGGTTGAACACAATAAAGTTGCTGACTGGACTTTTCATGATCTGGTTGGTTGGTTGGTTGGTTGGTTGGTTGGTTGGTTGGTTGGTTGGTTGGTTGGTTGGTTTGTTTGTTTGTTTGTTTGTTTGTTTATTTATTTATTTATTTATTTATTTATTTAATTTGTAGCAGGACTCCAACAGGATTCAGGGTGGTGAACAGCCACGGTAAAAACACAACATATAAAATTTAAAAACAATTTTAAAAACATTAAATACTTTTGGCCATCAATTTAAAATAACCCAATTAAAACCAATTATAAATTTAAAACCGTAAGGATGGGGTCAAGCCAGCCCGGCTAGATGGAATAGATATGTTTTCAGGGCCCGAAGAAAAGTCCGGAGGTCTGGTATCGTGCATATCTCTGGGGATAGGTCGTTCCAGAGGGCAGGTGCCACCACAGAGAAGGCTCTCCCCCTGGGGGTTGCCAGCCGACATTGTCTGGCTGACAGCACCCTGAGGAGGCCCTCTCTGTGCGAGAGAACTGGCCGGTGGGAGGCTATTGGCGGCAGAAGGCGGTCTCGTAAATACCCCGGCCCTAAGCCATGGAGTGCTTTAAAGGTGGTCACCAACACCTTGAAGCGCATCCAGAAGACCACCGAAAGCCAGTGCAGCTCGCGCAGGAGAGGTGTCACATCGGAGTGCCCCGTCGCTCCCATAATCCCCCGCGCGACCGCATTCTGGACCAACTGGAGCCTCCGGGTGCACCCCAAGGGGAGCCCCATGTAGAGAGCATTGCAGTAGTCCAGGCGGGAAATGACGAGTGCCTGAGTGACCGTGCGTAGTTTGTGCCTGTCATTGGGTAATGAAATATCTGCAAGCAAACAACTTAACTTGGGAAGCACCAAGAACTCCACACTCTAACCCTGAGCTACAGATATTTTCTAATGAAGCCATTTTTTTTTTTTTTACTGAATATTTAATTAACCATCCAGGGGTAAAACTGGCAGAACATATGGTAAAAATCATTTGAATTTACCTAAATCTTAATGTAGGTTCTCTTAGTAAACTGATTACACATTGAAGACTCTTTCCCTGTACTCTGCACCAAGTACTTGAAATTCTTAAACATACTTTTTGTTCAAGTCATCGCTCACTTAGAATTAACAATCCCCTATAACTTTAAGGGTCCTTCAAATTGTCTGCCTTAACAAGTTATGCATTTTCTGAACTTCCACAATTGTCACAAATGCAAAATCAATCACGAAGCTCAAAATCAAAAAGGACCAGGGGAAACATAATAGCAGTGTTCCAATATTTGAGAGGATGCCACAGAGAGGAGGAGGGTCAAGCTATTTTCCAAAGCACCTGAAGGCCAGACAAGGAATAATGGATGGGAACTGACCAAGGAGAGATTCAACCTAGAAATGAGGAGGAATTTCCTGAGAGTGAGAACAATCAACCAATGGAACAGAAGTTGCCTTTGGAAGTTGTGGGAGCTTCATCACTTGAGATTTTCAAGAAAAGATTGGACTGCCATTTGTCAGAAATGGTGTAGGGTTTCCTGCTTGAGTGGGGGGTTGGACTAGATGACCTATAAGGTCTCTTCCAACTCTGTTAATCTGTTAAATGTGTTAAAATCTTACCCAGGCATACAATTGCAGTCTTCCTATGCACTTCCATTGAAAGTAGCTCCATGCAGAAAAATTAGCCTACACTTTCCCACCAATTTTTATTCAGTTAAAATGAATTGGTATTTGAAGTTTATTTAAGAAGAAGAAGTAAATACCGGTAGGTAGGTTAAGTAAGAGATTTTACGCCTGAGATGGCTAAGACTTGAATCAACATTTCATTGCTCTGGCATTTCTGGCTTCCCACACTCCCATCTATTTTTTATGTTTTATTGAAGAGAAGTCCTGAATACCAGGTTTGCTTCACTTTCACGAAGGCTTAAGCAATGCATCTCTTACAAGTGCCTTACAAATCAGCCATCCCCATCCTAAAGTTAAGTAGATGCCACCTGGGGTCACCTCATTTGCTTTGACCAGCTCTTGTAAGAGTGGTTCTGACTTCGTATAAGATCAGGAACAGGGGTGGGTTCTAAATTTTTTTACTACCGGTTCTGTGGGCGTGGCTTATTTTGTGGGCGTGGCTTGATGGGGGTAATGTGACTGGGTGGGCATGGCTTTTTTTTTTACTTTAAAAAAAAACTTTTTACCTTAAGAGGTTGCAGAAAAAAATGCTTTTAAAAGCCTCTGACGATCCCAGCAGAGCCACGCAATCATCAGAGCCTTTTAAAAAAAACTTTTAAAAGCATTTTTTCGGCCGAAGAGGTTGAAGAAAAAAATGCTTTAAAAAGTTTTTTTTAAAAAAAGTCTCTGATGAGGTGGGCAGGGTAAGCGAGCGGCAACCAGGCCGGGGACCGGTTTGGGGGTGTGGCCAGCCAATGTTATTACTGGTTCTCCAAACTACTAGAAATTTTTATTATCGGTTCTTGCGAACCGGTGCGAACCAGGAGCAACTGACCACTGCTCAGGAAGCATTACTGAAGATGGCCATCACCGATGATGATCATAATGGCTTTGTAGTCATGGCAAGCAAAACCTTTACTTGAAAATCATTGAAAGGTTTGGATTAGAGCTGGTTTACTTGAAGAAGAAATACAGGCTACAACTAGAAAGCAATTAATGCCACAACAACGTTACTGAAAGCCTGGTATCCCCACGATATGTTTTTATTGAGTAAGAACTGCAATATTACAGAGGCAGAAACAAAACCAACTCAAACGGATAAGAAAAAAAAAATATTCACACTTTTAAAGGGTAAGAAAATACATTTATTAAACTTCATGACAGTATTTCTGGCAAATATTCTTAATACATGCATATTATAGGGATAAGCACTGTCTGGCTATAGGGTATCATATTAGCTTCATATTCATTCCAAATTTAGTGCACTAGTGTTACATTACTTGTATAGTTTAATGTTCCCTCCTCTTTTCTTCCTTGTTTATCCCTAAAGTTATTACTCGCTTGACGGATCTGCTTGGATAGCTTCACTAGGACTCACATAGCTGCTACATTGTTGTTTTGCTCATATTGATGTCTACACAACACTGGCCTCAGTCCATAGATATGTTACGCACATCTACTCAGAGGGGTTTAGCAGAGCAAACACAGAAAATGGGAAAGTCCTATCGAACCCTTTTGGTTTTAAGATTAAAGCATTGCTTTAATAAAGAGTTGGATGCAAACTCATATTCATGAATTTAAGTTTGTCCTAAAGGCTTAACAGAAATTTTCCTAAACTGCAAAGTGATCGTGTCATTTCAGTACAGCAATCAACTGTTAATCTGTGAGCGAACAAGGTGAAACGGAAAAAGTATTTCAGAAATGCAGTTTTGCCAGTTAAATATGTACAGTTAAATATGTACAGTAGAAATAGACGAGTAGAATGATTTAACCTACATTTTAAGATACCTGAGCCGTCTGGCATCAGCGAGCCAGAATCAGTAGCCCATTTTATACAGACTAGAAGCAAAAAAAAGAAATAAAATTGCTCGAGGAGGAAAATATAACAAAGTTAAGCAACATTGAGTCTTCCAGTTGATTCAATATTACACTGGTTATTTAATATTTCAATAAGCACGGAGATTAACTTCACATTTACTATGTATTATAAGTTTAATATGCTGCAAGATTTTGAATAAAAACCTTCAGAATGTATTGAGCTATAAAACAATTATATATTATACAAGCATGTTTTCTTTATCTACAATTAACTTCTGAAGAATGTTCCCCAAACCCCACCCCACCCCATCCCCACTTCAGCACTTGCCCAATATAGTTCCCCGTCTACAAGTCCTTCCTGTCTCTGTTTCATCTCACTGCAGGAGATTTCATATTCGCAATGAAGGGCCCTCAATCAAGACCATATGACTTCATGGAAAAATGGCAAGAAATAACAAAAATCTATGCATGCTACCATAGCGTCAACAATCCACTCACCCAGACACCAAAGCTGGTACCAGGTGACACCAAAGGTACCAGGTGCAAACATTCAATCAACCATTCGAGGAGGACAGAGCTGCTGACCAACAAAATTTTTCTGATCTGGAAGAGAAGCGTGTACCATTTTGCAGTGGCTCACTCGATTCATAAAAACCACAGAACTGTTCGACATCACCCCTAACGGTTCACTCTAACTCAGAAGTCTTCAAATTTGGCAGTTTTAAGACTTGTGGACTTCAACTCCCAGAATTCTCCAGCCAGCCAACTCCAGGGAGTTGAAGTCCACAAGCATAGCTGGCTGGAGAATTCTGGGAGTTGAAGTCCACAAGTCTTAAAGCTGCCAAATTTGGGGACCCTTACTCTAACTTATCACACAATGCTACTTTGGACATGCACATTTCCAGAAAAAGGGCAACAGCTGTTCATTTAACCAAGCTATCATAATTCTAAAGCTGCTCCAGGAACCTTTTTAAAAATCTCTACATCTGAACATGCCAATGATTTGAGTTCAGTTAACTTGTAGCCTCATTTCAGATACCGAGCATAGAAACACAAGGATTCCATGGGGAATAGTTTACTGAACTTCACCACGGACACAGCCAGAATCCTCAAATGGCCGTGATCATGAAGGGCTCGAAGCAAAATATCCATCAACATCTCTCAAGCCTTAGGTGAGATGAATGGACGTTGTATAGAAGAATACTTTTGAGAAAGCTCAAAACTTTCAAAAAAGTCATTTTCTAACAGAAGTCAGGTGCCTCTTTCTCTGTTTATCTTTTGCAAGAAAAATCTCGCGAGCAAAAAGCATACCTGGATATGGTTGTATGGCAGCTTCCATATCCTTAATTTAGCCCTTGGATGGTCATCTTAACTTATACGAATCATCAGAAAGAAAGGCAATTCTTTTCCCCCAGATGTTCCATCCCGGTTAGAGACTACCTAGAAGTTTGCTGTGTAAACTGACACCTTGTGCTGTGTCATTTGCTTCATTTTCCTGGCCCATCTAACTGATTTGTCAGGACCAGGAGTGGAATGAACGGTCCTTAAATGGGCACTCACATCCAAGATATAATGCACATTGGTGTAGTAGTCCCTGCTTCTTAATTAGTAAGGGCAGTCCAATGGTTTTATGTACAATATATTTATTTAAAAGCTAACTCTACCAGTCTATTCTATTTCCAAAGCATAGAGCCAATGTACAGCAGAACACTGCCAGTAAATCTGTGTCTTCACGTGAATAAGAAAATGCTGTTTTGCAAAGATTAGTGTAGCTTACTCTTTCTGATAAATGACTTTTATGAGGTATATCAAAGTATTACTAAAAACGGATACCCTAATTCTTCAAAAATGCAATTCCAAATTAAAAAAAAAAAGTCCAACTAAAATAAAATTCACAGTCCTTTTCCCTCATAGGTCAGTACATCGCAACAAATATATAATGAATTAAATGTAATTATATCCTTCAAAAAATAAATTCTTTTAAAAACAACAAAATAACTTCCCTCCCGCCCACATGAAATACATGGCTCAATGCTGAAAGGTTCTCCAGAACCAAATGAGCAGCATCCCCATTTAAAACAAAAACAAAAACTAACCCAAAAGAATGTTAAAATATATCTCCCTTCCCAAACTCTGACATTTTAGGTATAAGGTTCTCAAAATCTCTTTGAAAAGGTAAGAATTTCAATTATGTCCTTTATGTGAGGCATGATATGGATAGTGTTCTTTATATAGATTTTTGTTTGATTTTCCAACATAATTCTCAGAAACAAGAGAACGAACTGGGCTGTCTAAATAATAAAGGAAAACATCTTGCAAATTAAGGCAATGTGTGTCATGCAGAGTCTGGCACCTGAGGTTCTAGAGATGCTTAAAAAATTAAGCGGTATTATAAAAATAACCTGGAGCGATATAAATAAATGGAGATTCCCTTTACTTTTCCCTTTTCCTCTTTTCCAAGATATCAAGTTTTAAATACCATATAAAGCAACCCTTCCCAGCCTAATAGATTTTAACACCCAGAATTCTTAACATGCTAACTAACATGCTAACAAAAAAATTCTGAGTGTTGAAATACAGAATCTTGAAAGGTGCCCTGGTTGGGGAAAGGAATTTTGGAAAACATTTACAGATTTTGGAACTTTTGCATATTTCAAATATGTTGGGATGGACTACTCTCTTGAAAGGGGCAATTACCCTTAGAGATGCTTTATTTTCAAGACACCAGCTTTACACTAAGGACATACACATATTAATGTCTTACTGACAGGATACTTACATTCATTTCATCACACACATTTCATCTTTATTAAAGTATTGAAAACATGCAGTGTTTAGCAGGATCAGTTATTTTGGGTAGAAAAAAAATCAAATTCTGTCGAACTCTGGAAAGCTGCAAAAGTAGTTTAAGAAAACGAAGGCCACTGCGTTAATTGTAAAAGCAACACCCCATCTTTGGCGTGGAAATATTTGTTGTTATTATCAATGCAGATACCTCAACTGCTATCTCTGAAAATGGAGATTTAAAAAGGCTTACAAAAGTGTAATAGTTGAAGGCAAATACGATTAACATCTTTTTAAAGATGATAAATGTGGAAAAGGAGTAGGGCAATCAAAGCATTAAACAAAAGCCCCCATATATTAAAGGCACACTATAAATAGGACTATTTTCTGAAAACTCAAGATTAAATCAAACTTCCATCCATTTTTAATCATTTATCTTAAAATGACTTCAACTGACTATCCAAATTTGGTAAACTTGACTATAGCTAAGCTGAAGATTAACCTGGGAAAAATGGGACCATTCTACGTTTTTCAATCTTCTAATATATTGATTTCAATAGCTCAGAGAAGAAACCAATGGTATGCTTCAGTGGTGAGTTGCCCCCAGTTCGCACCGGTTCTATGGAACCGGTAGTAAAACCAGCGGGAGGCTCCGCCCACTGACTCTGATGTCATCAAAATGCTTCTGCGCATGCACAGAAGAGCACACGCGAGCGAGTGAAGTGAGCACGCACGTGCGGCCCCATTGCAAACCGGTAGTAAAAGTAAGTAGAACTCACCCCTGGTATGCTTGGCTTGATTTTTGAAATACATGCTGCATAGAAAGTATTAAATTGCCAATTACAAAAGCTAAATTGGTTAAGCACCTCAAAGAAGAAGTGTGCATAAGTATCAATTTAACGAGTTGTGTGAAATTGCAGTTTTACACATGCGAGAAATACACTCTAAATGCTAAGATTTGTATTAAAACTACTCCACCTGACCCTATAACAAAAGACTTGATTTTAAATTGCTTGGTAGTATTTTATAGAGGGATTTCAATCTCAGATCACCAAAGCACAATTTGCTCCCTACGGTTTCTCCTTGTAAAAGTTTGCAGGGAAATTCAGAGTTGGAGGCCTGAGTATTATAGTCGGCCATTCCCCAGAGCAAATGGGTTTTCCCCAGAGACAATGAAGAGAAGCTGTTGGAAGGCTGATTCCAAATAGTATTTATGCAGCCTACGATTTTGGAAGACGGTAACGTAAGAGTGTGGATGACATGAGGAAAACATTCTGCTCTCTCTACCGTTTCTGACATGGTATATCTTTCTTCGCTGCCCTCTTTCCCTGCAATTTCCCTTTCCTTCTGCCCCTCTCAGAAATCACCAAAGTCCCAATATGACACATGCTAATCCCTATTTTCCCATGGCCATTTCTCCCTTCTCTCAGTCACTACCTAGCATTATCCTTTTCTTTCTCCCATGTCATGCAGATGTCGTCAATTTTTCCCTGTGTCCCCCAACTGTTTTTGCTAAAAAAAAAACAAAAACCATTTGCTTTAGTCCATGCATCCAAAACATGCCTATTTCAGTTGGGACACAAATCTCACAACATGAGCTGTCCCGCGTATAGAATAATATGTGTATGAAACATTTTGCAAATCTCTGCAGCGCAGTCTCATTCATCCATCTCTTTCTTAAAGAGACACAGTTGGGACATTGGTGTTCCAAAAAAGCAAATATCCAGTAGGATGTCTAGATCCACATCAGTGCTAGGAAGTGGGACGTCAGGAAGGCAGTTTATAATCTCTCCGGTTTAAGGTGAGGACATAGCACACATTGCATTTTATTTTATTTTTTAAAATATGGAAAAATAAAATTTATTAAAAAAATATGCTAGAAGTCCAACATTTATCTATACCTGACTAAGCTTTAAAATCAGTGTTACACTTGTGTGGTATCCTGAGTTAAAATTATTGTATATACATGCATACAGCAGGCTCATAAACATAACACTGCAAGCTTCGATTGGCAAGCAATCTAAATTGGCTCTACTGGAATTAAAAGGGAACAAACTGCCTTAAACAACGGCTCTCCAAAGCAGCTGGAAATCTAATGCCATAAAACCATCAGCAGCACTACTATAGTGTTTTATCATCATCATCATCATCATCATCATCATCATCTTTTAATGACCCTATAATCCCTTGTGGGGTAGAATCTGGGCAACTGAATGGATCTGAGTGTTTACAGGCCGGATGCCCTTCCTGTTGCCAATGTGGAGTTATATTCAGCAGATACATTCTCATCGTGCCCAGAGAGAGAGATATCTGCCTCTACCTAGGATCGAACTCACAGCCTCCCGAGAGCTCCACCTCTAGGCCACCACACCATTCACTACTGTAGTGTTTGGTGCTGTAGCGTTTTCCTGTGAACTCGTAACTTTTTGGTGATTGGGACTTTCAATGTCTGGATGGAACTTGTAGTGTATGGGTACTGTAGGGTTTGGCTCCTGTAACATCCATCTGCTGCATTTTTAAGCAATAAGATCCTGTAACAAAGGCTGACCTAAATATACTTTCTTAAAATTTAAACATATTCTTGATTAGACAACAAGGTCTCAATCCTGAACACACCTGCATGTATGTATCCCTTTGAGGCTTAATAGACGTATTGATACCTGCAGAAATAAAGTTTGCTTCTATCTGCTTATGTTTCCTCTGGCATACTCAGAATAGGAAGTCATAAATATAGTCACAGATAAGGAACATTGAATCCGACTGACAGCATTGGGCCAGGGCAGGGTAAAAGGAAGACTGTTGAAAGGTAGTTGCAGACTAGTTGCTGCTCTTTGGTTTTAGAACTACCTTCCCTGAAACGCTGTGAATTAGCATCTCTACCAGTTATAAAACGTCCACTGTAACTTTCAACTTCACCGAAATAATCAACGCTCTGAGATAGTACTTCCAAAACTGTTAAACAACCAGTTCCAAGCAAACAGCTATTTCCAGGGCTTACTCATTTGATTTGGTGTGAAATAAGTTAGCAAAAGACCATCCTGAGTTAATAGCTTTGGGAGAATCGTCATCATCATCTTTCGGAGGAATCAAAAACTGCCGAGAATTAATCGAACAAGGGCTCCCAAATGAGACATTTTCTGTGGATTCTGGAGAATCTGGACCGCCCGTATTCCAGGAAGATGCATTCACTTGTGGTCTATAGCCTGCACCCTTGTCTGAGTTCTCTTCTGTCGCTGATGTTTCCTCCAACTGTTTGAAATTATTAACGGCGAGTTGCATTTGTGGTTTATAACCTGCTGAAACCGCACAGTCAGCTTCTAATTCTTCGTTTGGTTTAACTGGAGCTGAATACATTGACTGGACATCAATATAAACAACCTGGGAAGACACCGCAGATTCATCCTCTGGTGGATTAGATATGACTTCCTCAATGATTGGTGGACAATAGGAAACCACAACGTGGCTCCCCGATTCAGACTCCAAGCCATCTTCAGGAGGGTCTTCCATAGCAGGTGATGTAATGGCCGTGTCTTCAATTTTCAGACCCTGGGACTGGGTTTCAACTACTTCGATGTTGTTGGGGGTACATGGGTTCATCTCCAAGGTTTTAGGATTAGAGTTTCCCTACAATCAGAAAAATAAAATAAGCTTGGTATACTCAGCACTTGCAAATGTAAATAAATTGGATTATTTTGGAGTGGAAGGAAAATTACATCGCTTTACTTTTTATTGCTGATTTGTCTTTCTTTTTTTTAAAAAAAAACATTTGAAATCTTTATTCTTACATGAATATTTTATTTTAGCTTCAGGGCTGGAAATAAGATTTCAGAAATGTTCCCGATTTTTGTGCAATGCTGACTAAATATTGCAAATTTCACATAATCTTCCATCAAGCCTGGGATTTTATTTTGCTGCAAGCCAGCTAACTGGTTTAAAGAAGAAGGCTGCTTTACACAATAAACACCAAAGCAATGAAATGCTATTTACTTAAGACTGCTGCTCAGCGTTTCACAAACTTTGGCATTCACTGCAAATAAGATCTAACTTAACTAATAAAAATGTAAACTATTTATCATATATATTCATGGACAATCCAAGAATTTTAGACTCACAATACAATCCCAAAACTGGGTTTGCCTTATCCATAGATGGGCTTATCCACAAGTATATATGGTAATACACTTTTAAAATACCCTTATATACCTGTAGATGTCGGTTGTGAAAATTTAAAATGATATTTGTTCTGGGAAAGAACATTTATTGATACAAAACATGAAACAAATGAAGTCCTTCAGAATATATTGGGGAAAAAAATACAAAAATTTCAAGGCTCCACCGGCAGCACATTTTTATGGTATTTTAGTTAAAAATCCGAGGGCTAGTTTAAATGTGGATGGGCTTATTCATACTAGTAATACTACTTGATCAAAACCTGTGCATTTCATCTAGGCAGTTAGTGGGCTGAAAAAAAGCAATTGATAATTAGGGGTTTTAAAAATTAGCTAAACATTTATTGTCATTCCAGTTATCTGTTAGAAGCCACAATGACAGGACATACAGTACATTAGTATTTTTAAGCCTCAGCAAATTTTAAGATGTATGGATGTCAGCTGCTGGGGGAATCCTGGTAGTTGAAATCCACACATTTTAAAATTGCTGAAGTTGAGTAGCACTGATGTACATGAAATCATTATGAAAATATATCAGCTACATCATGTCTGTCTCTTCTGTTATGAAGTCTTGGCCCATGTACCATCACTGCCCTTTACTCTCCTATGGATGCCCATAAATCCTGAAGTTACTTCTGCCACCAACTCATTTCTTCAAAAGCTGAAGATGTTTTTTTTTCCAGTCCTTGCATTCATGCTCAATCTCAAGTGAGGAAACACAACATCCTTTCACTCTGAAAGTGAGAGCTTTTCCCTATCTTGCCCTTCCCCATCCCCATCCCACCTATCAGCATTCTTATTGTTGTGTAGTGGGCTTCAGGAGGCAAGAAGCAGACCAGCATAGCTACAACAACATTTATTGACTGAAAACTGGAACTGCAGGCAAATCCCTGTAATTTATACTCTAGGCCAGCGATGGCTAACCTTTTTGCCATCGCTTGCCAAAAGTGTGGGGGGGGCCCACAGGGGGGTTGCGCATGAATGTGCCCACACCCATAATTCAATGCCCCCTCGCCCCCTCCCCCCGCACATGTGCGCGCAACCCCTCTGCATTACCCCCACTTTTGGCATGCAACGGCAAAAAAGGTTACTGGTGGGACCGATAGGCCTGTTTTTTGCCCTCCCCAGGCTCCAGAGGCTTTCTTGGAGCCTGGGGAAGGCGAAAACGGCCTTCCCCACCCCCCTGGAAGCCCTCTGGAGGCCAGAAACAGCCTGTTCCCCGACTTCCGGTGGGCCCAAAAGCCCCAAAAATCAGCTGGCTAGCGCATGCGTGCACGTTGGAGCTGACCTAGGGCAATACTCGCATGCCTACAAATATGGATCCGTGTGCCACTTGTGGCACACGTGCCATAGGTTCGCCATCACGGCTCTAGGCCCACAGGGCCTTAACTAATCATAGTACTTGGAAAAGCCCGCCCAAATATGAATGTTCTAAGTTTCCCTCCAAAACAGCTGGAGTTAACAGTTAGGGTCATCTAAAGGTTAGTTTCACTTTAGCAGAGCTTAACACAACTATATATATTCATCATTCACTTATGATATTATTTGAATGGTAAAATGGAACACATTACCTCTGAATCTCTCAGGAAATCCAAAGCTTTGGAGTGTTCTGGGTTTGGAATGTCAGGATAGAAGACTTCTTTAATCCTTTCGAAGTAAGGGAAGCAATGTTAATTTATGAATTGCCAACGTACCTCCTGAAATATTTATTTTCAATATCAAAATGAGACATGTTTCCCCCCACTCCTGTTTTTTTCTCCCAGAAGCAATCACTCATTCAAAATTCATGTGGGGCTGGGAGGAACTCAGGGTTCCCAAAGATGGGTCTTGAGCAGTGGCGATTTATAGAGATTTTTTGAAGGATCCTTGGCGCTCCCTAAGCTTGGTTGTTTTCTGGCAGATGTTTCATTACCCAAACTAGGTAATTTCATCAGTGCAGCACTGATGATGTTACCTAGGGTGTGTAATCAAACATCTGCCAGAAAACAACTAAGCTCAGAAAGTGCCAAAGACCTCTCATTTCAACCCTGAGTTACAAAAGTTCTTCTTTATTGATAGAGAGTTTTGTTTCTTCATATTTTTAAACCTTAAATTCAAAGAAGCTTTGAATGAACTTCAGAGGTTGCTCTCCTTCCAAAAGAATACTTAGAGAGGTTTATTTTAGCATTAATGAGCCAGTGGTTAGAGCCAGTACTGCAGGCTACTTCTACTGACTGCCAGCTGTCTGCAATTTGGAAGTTCAAATCTCACCAGGCTCAAGGTTGACTCAGCCTTCCATCCTTCCGAGGTGGGTAAAATGAGGACCCAGATTGTTGGGGGCAATAGGCTGACTTTGTAAACCACTTAGAGAGAGCTGTAAAGCACTGTGAAGCAGTATATAAGTCTAAGTACTATTGCTATTAACCAACTGGCCATTGGTTTGGATGGTTTAGGGGTGGGGAATATGTGGTGGGTGGGGGTATGTTTGGGGATTGCTATGTGTGTTGGATCTGGTCTTTCGGTGTTAAGTGAAGTTCATTGTATGGGTATACTGTGTATACACGTACAATGACAATAAAGTTATTATTTTATATTATTTTATTTTTATTCCGAGTCTGGCTATATCAACATCCCCAACAAAGTTGCCACACAAATTCCAGTGGCATCTCCCAAAATCTTGCCCAGTGAAATGCAATTCTTGGAGCACAAGAGATTTAGCGTGTGCCCAAAGACGGCTATGCTTTATCAAGAAATCTTCACCTATACGGAACATAAACTTTATATCCCATCTGGAGCAGATCTAATAGCTTAATGCAAGAACATATGCCAGAATCTGTTTCTCTTTGTAGAAGAAAAAGGAAATTAAGATGGCTGGATGCCAAAGTTACCATTCCCTCTTCCGGTAGCAGAGGATCCCAGTTACAACAGCCAACACAAGAACCACAGACACCGGGATAATTATGGCAATGATCAATCCCAGAGCTGGAAAGTATAAGAGAGAAAAGCTAGTAAGACAGCAATATTTCAGTTAGTCAACAACTTCCATCAAGCCTATGGGACAATTTCCTAGAGTGTCTTTCGACACGGAAAATAACCAATGTTGCTTTTAACAGTTTAATAGGAATGGAAGTAATTGATTGGAAATGGCAATTTTCCCTCCTGCTGTTTATGCACTCTATTTATTATTGGTACTCTGTTAGTTTTTGAAGGATAGTTCTATAATTTAATTTACCTAATTAAATATGTCAAGACAACAGTAACAACAACAAAACATATACAGGAGTATCACAAGCACCTGGAAAAAATTCCTTCCTGAGACATTTATCATTTAAATTTTATAATCATTTAAATTTTATATCATTTAAATTTTATACTCATATTTTATATGAGCCGCAGTGGCACAGTGGTTAGAGTGCATTACTGTAGACTACGTCTGCTGTCTGCCAGCTGCCTGAAATTTGGCAGTTCAAATCTCACCAGGCTCAAGGTTGACTCAGCCTTCCATCCTTCTGAGGTTGGTAAAATGTGAACTCTGATTGTTAGGGAAAATATGCTGACTCTGTAAACTGCTTAGAGAAGGCTGTCAATAACTGTAAAGCGGTATATAAGTCTAAGTGCTATTGCTAGTGCTGTATATTCCTAACCCCCCAAAAATGGTAGCATCCTGGACACTAAGCAAAAAGATTACTGACAAAGCTCTGATAAAATTTCAAAAATATGCAAGGTAGCTTTATGAACATCTTGCAATTATATTGGAAACAGTATTCTTAATTTTTCTGTTAATTCACACCTCACATTCTGACATCATTTTGATTCATTGAATTGGACCAATGAACAATACCATCTCTTTCTTTTATTTTAGCTTCCTAAACAAACCTTATAAGCTTTGGTAACAACTTAGTCATACATTGCAAAATCCCTGGAATTTTAACAAATATCATAAGCAAGTGTGATGAACAATATTAATCACGAATGTCAAACTTGATTTCATTGAGGGACGCATCAGGGTTGTGTTTGACCTCAAGGGGCCGGGTGGGTGTGGCCAGGGTGGGCGTGGCCAGCTCAATGTCACTCATGTCAGGGCGCCTGTGGTGGCCCAAGTGCTCTACCAGTAAAAACGGGCTCCTGAGCTCCGTTTTCGGCTGCCACGGCCTCCTGCAAGCCTCTGGCAGAGAAAATGGAGCTCAGGAGGGCCATGTGCGGCCCTCCCAAGCTCCATTTTCTCTGGCAGAGGCACCACGGGCCAGTCCTTCGTGTTTCCAGGGTATCCCCACGGGCCATATCCAAGCACCCCGGGAACCGGATTCGGCCCCCGGGCCTTGAGTTTGACACCCCTGATATTAATGGTTTGATTCCCTTTGACAAATGTTGAAACTCAGTCTAATGCTTGCTAAGGACTACACACCATTTGTTCTAACAACTCTTGACAATGCCTAAGTGCAGAACAAACACCCAATTGTCTCATTACTTACCATTTTCCTTTGTAACCACATTCAAGGTATTGACAGGTCCAGATCCTGCAGCTGTATAGGCTCTAAAAGTCAGGTGGTAACTGGTTTTCCCTTGAAGGCCTGATACTGTCAACACATCTTGATTTAGATCAGTAACGTTGATTTCTGTGTGGCATTATTGCAAGAGAAAAGGGGGAGAAGAAAAAGAATTAGAAAGGAAATATCACAAAACAACAAAAAGCATGTTTATAAAAAAAGGTCCCAAATTTTCATTTCATCAGATGGGTGCCCATAAAATTTTTATAAATAAATATATAATGTAGGGTCCTTGGTGCTCTCTGAGCTTGGCTGTTTTCTTGTAATGAAAGAAGTTTCATTACACAGCTAGATAACAACCCAGAGTGGAATGGAACCCATTAAATGGCTAGTATGATTGTGTGTTGTTGCTGGGCTGGGGTTTTTTTATTTTTTTATTTATTTTTTTATTTCTTTTATATTGCATTTTTATTTCCTGTAAGCTGCCTTGAGTTGCCATGAGCGAGTAGGCAACAAATAATAAATTTATTTATTATTTCAAAAAAATAAACATCATCCCATCGTAACTATCAATCACCATAATCGTGCACTGATATTAGCTAGCTGGCCAATGAACTCTCTGCAAGAAAACCACCAAGCTCAGAGAATACCAAGGACCCCACAATTCAGTCCTGAACTACAAATAAGTCCTGTTCCTGTAAAAATATAGTAAAAATTGGAGCCCAATTATGGGTCACACAAAATATAAATTCATCTGAATTCAACTGAAAGCTTTGTCTACACTGGTTTTCAAATCCTGGGACTCTTGAAAGAGGATTACTGAATGGCCTCCTTTCCATTTTAACTGCAGATCAAGCTGCATCCACAAAGTACAAAAACGATCTTTAAGGAATCACGCATAATCACATCCAAGTTTGCTTGCCTTTTCATGAAGACATTAGTAGCATGACAGGGAATGCAAAAAAAAGGGCAAAGAAACGAAAGCTGAGCAAATTAAATGATCAGATTTGGGAATTAGTAGAAATAAGGGCTGTTGTCAAGACTGACTCACACTTTCACCTATATTTTGCTTCGCTCGCAACTTGACAAAGAATAGGGGCGGTGGGGATGGAAGGGAATGCAAGGGTGGAAGGAATGGTATCCAAGCATCATCAGTTCCCGTGAGACATTGTTCCCACATCAAGGACACTCCGAGTAGATGTCCCAGTGTGGTCAGCTGGTTCCCATAACAAAATGAACAGAAGTGATTGGTGGATGTAATGGACTGTGGGTGGTCAGTGAGGAAAGGGGGAATAAACTATGCTTGCTTTTGCATAGGAAGCCCAGAGCTGGTTTTGCTTCTTCTGTGCCAGTGTGATTTATTCAATAAAGTTTACACTCTTGGTAAAATAATGTCCCAATAATTTATTTTTCTGGATTCTCCAACTGGACAGTTGACAGATGTACAATATAATGCCTCAAGGGAAAACTCCTTTTCAATCATATATTTGATAAAGGAGAATATTTCTTCCACCAATACTGATGGGTAAGCCACTAGAATATAAATTGAGAGCAAACCCCACTCCTTACTAACTAACTGAAGATGTTATGGAGTCTGGATAATGAAAGGTCTCCAAAAAACCCCACCAAGCTCAGAGAGCACCAAGGACCCCTCCAATCATATATTCCAAAATCATCACCCTTGGTGTTTAACCCTTTCTTCCTCATCGGTTAGCATTCCACAACTAATCACGATGTTCAATTTTCAATAGGCTGTTTTGAAATCCTGTAAGACTTTTGACTAGAATGATTTCTAACACGTCTGCCAACTTTGCAGTTTCCTACAAGTTTCCTCAGTACTTCCACTCAAATGTGGACCAGCAACCAATCCACAATAAAAAATAAATAAATGCATGATCACCAGAACATAAAATTCTCCTGGTTAAATATTAAGACAAACATCTTTAGAAAATAATGAAAGGATGGGGAAAGGTCCCTTAGCATTATTAATTCGTGAAGATTTTTTGCTTCGCAAGTTTAATTAATAATGCTAAAGGGGCCTTTTCTGCTTAATTGAATTGTGACAATGCAGAATCTGTGTTAATTGGAGGAAACACAAAAACCCTAATAGCCAGCAATCTTGCAACAGATTGTGGATGTGATACCATAAACAGTGCAGATCATAAGGCTCCTCCCTCCATTTCCCTATCTATGGCATGACCATGTTCCAGTAATCATTTTGTACTGCTGTTTCATGGTATCAAGAGGACTGAATACTGTCCTGGGCACCCACCTATATTTGCCTAACCCTATCACATCACATGGAAAGGAGACCAATTGGTAGTTGTTTCTCCCACCAGCTGGGGACCCTTGAAAGTAAGTAAAGGAAACAAAATTGGGGAAATCCATCCATCACTTTCCTTAATTCACCCCACATTGCAACTGCAAGGAAAGCACCATGGGGCAGTTTTGTCCTTAAGTAGAATTTGGCTGTCCCCACAGAGATACAGCTGACCATTGCTATATGGCAGGCAGCATTATATGGGAAGTGAAAACTCTTTCAAATCAGGCATTAGGAAGACTTTCCTTGGGCAAATAAAATAGAAATAAATTTCACGAAGAAAGAATATGAAGCTATTCTTAAATTATTGAGGGGGGGGATTTTTTTATAAATCAGAAACAGAGATCTATCGATATTTTGATCATCTAAAATGTTTTATTCTGCTTTTAGATATATTAGTTTTGCTTAGTATTAGTTTGTTCTCCTCCATCCACATGTACTTTCTCACTTCGAATGTTTTATAACAGAACAACAGAGTTGGAAGGGACCTTGTAGGTCATCTAGTCCAACCCCCCACCCAAACAGGAGACTCTACACTATTTCTGACAAATGGCAGTCCAATCTCTTCTTGAAAGCCTCCAGTGATGAAGCTGCCACTACTTCCGAAGGCAAGCTGTTCCATTGGTTCATTGTTCTCACTGTCAGAAAATTTCTCTTTATTTCTAGGTTGAATCTCTCCTTGATCAGTTTCCATCCATTATTCCTTGTCTGGCCTTCGGGTGCCTTGGAAAATAGCTTGACCCCTTCAAGAAAAGAATTCAAGACTACCCTTCAAGAGTGTCAAGAAGAAGGATCTGTAGAGAAATCTAATTCATCTGAACCACACATTCTTCTCTAAAAGGGAGCTGACACAGACGGGAATCTGCTTCCTGTACATGTTGATAAATGATCCTTATGCATTGCTGCTGTGAAATGTTTAATCTGCAAGCTAAAATCAGTTGCCTTTGTAACAAAGGAACTGATTGCTAGATCTACTAGTGATAATTGATTGGATCAAATGATACAATCTGGGCCTTTGATTATTTTAATCACCAATGTTTATAGCTCACAGTATATTGTTGACATTTCTCATGAAGAATATCTAAGAGGAATATTTTATCCCAAAGATAAGTATTTGGTCAATAAGCCACCCCTACCCTTATTATAGTAGGAAATTAACTTCTTTTTAAAAAAAGGTTACTCAAATTGTAATAGGGCATCTATTTTATTAGTCTTAACCAATAAGCAATTCCTGCTCTTATTATAATAGGAAATTATTTTAAATAGTCAAGAGTGGTCAAACTGCAATAAAGCATCTACGTTAATAAAATACTATGAATTAAATGTATTTATTATATTCTTTATATATATCCTGCCACATTCTACACAACTCTTATTTATACTCTTAATAAATGCTATTTCCAACAAGTTTCTTTACCCACAAAAGTATATCTAATTCCTTTCAGCTTTCTAAAATTGAAAACACAGAATAGAAGGAATCTGTATTCCACTAATACAGTTGCCTAGTAAATCTTGCAAACATTTCTACCTTCAGTAGAGTGAACCTCTATCTTTTTCAATAAGCATGTTCACTGGATCTTGCAGAATTATTTCTGGATGCAAATTTCTCTCATCCAGGAAGACCATATAGTTTGTCTTCCAAAATAATCTCTGGATGCTACACAATATGTCATCAGCAAGTTCATTTAGTATATCTTGCAAAATTATCTCTGGGTGCAACATGATATCAGCGTTCCAGGAAAACCCCAACTCCAAGTAAAGACACAGAAGCAAGCATTTTCCAAAGTTCTCTTTATTAGAATATGTAACCTGGCACATCTGGGAAATCCCGAATCTGAAAAGCCCACGTTTTCCTTCAGTAAGTCAAAGCTCCCCAAACTATCCCCTTTCTCCCCGATCGATCACGTGCTCCAATCAATGTCCGTTCCATCTCAACCCAGTCCCCTGACCACTCCTTCTCCAGATGCTGGATCGCCCTGACCTTGACCGACAGGAAGACTGCTATTATGTCTACTAACCCCCTCTCCTAAATCCCCCCTCCTACTTTCCCACACATGAGGAGGTGGCAGCATTGAAGCTTCCAGCCTAATATGGCTTCCAAAGCTGACACGTGATACAATCTCATCCAGAAGAAACATCTGGCCAGATTTTGCAAAATAACACCTGAGAACACAGTTGTGTTATTGTACTCAACATAAATGCTTAATAAGTCCTGAAAAATTGTCTCTGGGTCCATTATAGCATTGTCCCATTCTGTAGATTCACACAATAAATCTTGGAAAAAAATGATTCTCAGTATAATTCTAAGTGTCACTATAACCTGCTAGCATGCTTAAATAAATGTAGGAGGGGGAAACTCACACTGAAATGTACCTCATTGATGTCTCATTGTATTAGCATGTTTAGTAGATTTTGCAAAATTATTTTTGCCTACACCATATTTTGTCTCATTCTCTTAACATGCCAATTAAATCTGCCAACTTTATTTTTGGCTGCAGTGAAATGAAGTTCCAAATGCTCACATTTTAAATTTGGCTATTTCAGAAGGAATATTTGTGCACACCAGCAGAAAAAGGGAAACAGATTAGTAATGTAGATTGCTTTTTAAAAAATAGAGTTGTATATATTTGTATATTTTTATATAACTATACTTTACAGCTGTCCTACTCAATTGGAAGACTGAGGGATGCATGGAGAAGTCAAAAAAGAAAAAAGAAACTGAATCATCTTCACATCAATTTTTTACTTTTATGAATGGACACATGTTCCTGGTTAATCCATCTGCTTGTAAATTCATTGTGGGCTTTCATTTAACTTTTACTTTATTGACACTATTAATCAGGGGTGAAATGTAAAATCTGTTACTACCAGTTCTGTGGGCGTGGCTTGGTGGGGGTGTAATGTGACTGGGTGGGCGTAGCCAACTTTTTAAAAAAACTTTTCAAAGCATTTTTTCTAATGCTTTGAAAAGCCTCTCTGCCCATCAGGAACTCAACTGGGATCGTCAGAGAGGCTCTTTAAAAAATGCCTCTCTGCCGGATCAGGGAACTCAGCTGGGATCATCAGAGACTTTTCAAAGCATTTTTTTTACCACCTCTTCGGCCAAGAGGTTGCAAAAAAAATGCTTTGAAAAGCCTCTGATGATCCCAGCTGAGCCGCACCGATCATCAGAGGCTTTTTTTTAACTTTTAAAAGCATTTTTTCATCTGAAGATGTTGTAGAAAAAATGTTGTTAAAAGTAAAAAAAAAAAAGCCTCTGATGATCGTGTGGCTCAGCTGGGCATGGGGGGGGGGGGGCGCAGGGATTTTTGCTACCGGTTCTCCGAACCACCCGCTGCCATCCCTACGTCCGAACCGGGAGAATTTCACCCCTGCTATTAATGTTTTAACAGGCCTATAGTGCTGGGAATATTAGGGTTAGGGTTAGCAGTTTAGTAAACAAAGAATCGATGGCAGAAAATTCAAGGTCAAGAAAAGATCAGCCAATCCTTAGTTAACTCAAAAAGGGGAAATGAGAAACAGATGTAGGTTTATATATAGCTTTATATAGCTTTATGGGGCAGATTTCCTAAATGAAGAATTTCTTCATATCTGTTCTCAATAACATTGGATTTGGGTTGGAGACTGTTCTCAATAACGTTGAGAACATATCTGTTCATATCTGTTCTCAATAACGTTGGATTTGGGTTGGGTTGAGACTGTTTTCTCAGCTTCCATGGATGTTCCTGATATGGACTTAAAATTGGTCTGTTTTGACTGTTTGGTACAAATGGTACAGCTAGTCCTCAATTTACAACAGTTCATTTAGTGATCATTCGAAGTTGCAAGCCTTCGATAGAGGGGCTGCATTGCTTTTACTAGTGAAATATATATAGTACCTTGATCTGGAAAACTTTGTAGTATAAAATGGGGCCATTTAAAGGCATAAGGCTTTGTTTACTAGAGTTCGTATTTCAGTTCTTAGGTTGCTCCTTAAATGATTTGTTACTCTATACCAGTGATGGCTAACCTTTTCTGGACTGAGTGCCCAAAGCGTGCAAGAACGTGCATGAATGTGTGCATGTGTGCCCGAACCCCCCAAATGCAATGTGCACGCGCCCCCCGCATGTGCCCTGCACCCCGCGCATGCCACCCCGCATGCACCCTGCACATGTGCGGCAGAGACCGACAACCAGCTGGCTGGTGGGAGGCATGCATGCATGCGCGGCAGAGCTGAACTGGGGCAACGGCTGCCATGCCACAGAGAGGGAGCTGCGTGCCACCTGTGGCATGCATGCCATAGGTTCACCATCATGGCTCTATACTTTGAGGATAATTTTCTTGGACACCTGGTCCTTTGATATTTCCAGGCCGGCCCTGCGGGTCAGATTTAAGCACCCCATGGGCCAGTTTCAGCCCATTGGTCTTGAGTTTGACACCCCTGCTCTTGTTGTGGCTCTGTTGCCTGAGCCTGGGCTATCGACAGATGCAGACTCTGAGAGTGAGGGAGAGGAGTTGGCAAGGCCTCCCTCTCCAGGACTCTCCTCTCTGGCAATGCCTCTGGAGGACACCGAAGGCCAAAAGATAGGCCCAGAGCCAAGCACGTCCCCGCAGCCACAGGTGGACAGCGATGAAGGAGATAAGTGCTGGCTGGATCCTCGACAGCGGCGCAGGGAGAAGCGTGTGCAGCAGAGGGGAAGGCGTGCCAGAGATTAGCTGAGTCACTGGACCACACCCCACAGGGTATAAATGTGGGTGTGGTGGCCGGTTCAGTTTGTGACGAGCAAAAACTAGAAATAATCCATGATCTCTGCATTACTGGACTTCTGCCTGCCTTGTCGGACTGCATTCGCACTAATCCTTGTATTGCTGAAACTTTGCCTGCTTTATTGGAATGCCTGCAGTTTAATCTTTGTTTTGTGTGATTAAAGTCTGAATTGGCAGCTAGCCACTGGGTTGCTGCCAGCTTTATCTTCAAAGAGTTTGTTGTGTGGCTTATTAACTCCGGGCCGTCTGTGGGGGTGCGTGTGTGGGACGGGGACAGAACAGCTCTATGCAGAGGAAAGGCAGAAAGCCACTCTTTTGCCTCCCCCACTCTACAACTTTTCTTTTCAAATGGTTTACAAAGTATGCAGAGCTATGGAATGCAAAGAATCAATTCTTATAAGTATATAACAGATTCAGGGGCGATGGAATGATTCATTTATACGTTTTCAGCGATAGCTTTGGGACAGGTTATACTTCTTAAAAGATGGCCTTGTTGGTAAAGCTGATCCAGGAGCAACCTATGAAGCTTATTTATCTGGTGCCTGTAGTTCCTCTTACACCTGTCGCAAGCCTGTTACCAAGCTGTGCAAGAAGGATGAAGAAACAGGACGTGTCAATTCCCATTCAGACAGCAAGAGGGCAGGAGACGCCTCAAAATATTGCAGTTAGGTTTCTTTAGCTATGCAACCATTTTTTCCACAATCCTTTTGAGAGGTTTTTTTTTATACAGATGCATGAACGCTAAGCTGACTAAACCATGATTTATAACAGTTTAAATATGATAGAGGTATTATTGTGCCCACGTATCTTAACCAATGCTATGTATAAATATTTTCAATCAGAATAGAGCTGGAAGAGACCTTGGAGGCAGGGATGGGCTGCTGGGGGTACACAGGGGTTCGGAGAACCTCTAGCTAAGCTTCTGTGGAGTTCGGAGAACCCCAAAATCCCACCCCTGGCTGGCCCTGCCCACCCCTCCCCTCCACTCCCAGGAGTCCCCACACGGCCTGCTTTGGATGCAGGTAAGTGCAGGGCGCGCACAGAGGCTCAGGAAGGGGGAAAAAGGGCCTACCGGAAGTTTGGGAAGGCCCGTTTCCGGCCTCCAGAGGGCCTCCAGAGCCTGGGGAGGCCATTTTCACCCTCCTGGAGGATGGAGGAAAGCCTCCGGAGCCTGGAGAGGGCAACCCCCCCCCCCAGCCGTGGTGCAGAAGGCTGATTAAGCCACGCCCACCATGGCCACGCCCACCCAGCAATTGGGCAGAGAATCCCTTGCTAAACTTTTTGAAGTCCACCTCTGCTTGAAGGTCTTCTAGTCCAATCCCCTGGTCAAGCAGGAGATCCTATTCCATTTTAAAGAATTACTGTATTCTGGTGCAATACAGTATTTATAACAGAATATTACTGTATACTGAATACAGAGAATTCCTGCATTCTCTTGCAGTGCAGTATTTATAACCACTGTTTGCATCCTCCAAAATTCTTGTATGTGTTCTTCATTTCGTATTTACAGTCATCATAAGATTGTTATCAGTACAACTATCATATAATTAGCATTTTTGTCCATGTTCTGCATGGGACCTGGTGGGGCCATGAAGATTAAAAATGACATAGTGCTGCTCCTTTCAGTAAGCCACACATATAAAAATTACTGTGGAGCAGGAGTGTTTAGACATGTGTTTCAATTCACCATTTCAACAGCATCCGTGTGGTTAGGTTGCAATGGTGGCTGTAATCCTAAAATGAAAGGTCATTTAAAAAAAAAAAATGAAAATAATCCAATTGATATTTCTTTACCTGGTTTAAAATTTTTTGGCGTTGGGCCATCTTTCTCTCCTTTGGCACATTTAAGCAAATAACCTTGTAAAAAGCCTCGGCTGTCTTCAACAGATATATTCTTCCATTTTATTACGATGGAATCAGAGGTGGTATGTTCCACATTAAAATCAGGTGCTGTTTTGGGACCTGGGTAAAAAACAACCAAATATTCCTTGAATGTGGAGAGGACAGATCCCTTCCCACTTAGAACAACTCCTCCTCTCCTCACTGGAACAACTATGCAGTGTTTCACAATCTTAGCAACTTTAAGATGGATGGTCTTCCATTCATCATGCTGGCTGGAGAATTCTGGGAGTTGAAGTCCACCCATCTTAAAGTTACCAAGATTGAGAATCATTGGACTATAGTGAAGTAAAGAATGCCTTTTACAAACAGAAGGCAATTCTAGGTAGCTAGTTAGTTTTTGAATGCAAGGTGAGGAACATTCAGAAGTGGTTAAATCCTGAAACAAAATCACCCATTTTGTTGTCTGTGGAGATTCTTAGTCATGCAGGGCATGGTTGTCCCATACATACTTTTTCAAAAGGCAACTGGACTTTCGTTGTTTTTGCTTGAAAACATTTTGCTTCTCATCCAAGAAGCTTTTCCAGTTCTGAACTTCTTCAGAAGAAGCTTTTTGGATGAGAAGCAAAACATTTTCAAGCAAAGTCCAGTTGCCTTTGAAGATGGGTATCTTTGGGATACCCATCTCTTTATATATCATTTTCTAAGAAATAATACAATTATTGATGGCATTTCATTGTTTATTCTCTCAACCTCCTGAATTCTAATGAGCTCAACCCATCTTAAAAGGAAGGATTATGATTTATGTTTAGCAGAATTCTGTTCTGCAAGAAAAGTGGGAGTCGAGAGCAGCTCTTCACTCAAGTATTCTTTGAATCATTTCAACATGGGGAAAAAGTCCAAGAGTTGTGCTTTGAGACACGTTTCCTTTCTGGAACTGTTTTTAAACCTAGCTTGACCTATAGACATTTAAGTAACATTAAGGATTGGATTTAATAATTTCATTTAGATCACTTCAGCATTTGTCAAATGGCTGAATCTTGTTTATACACTATCCTCATTTCCCCTTTATTTTCAAGAGAAAGCTATAATTCCTCTAATTGTACCCTATCATTGAAAATAAAAGATCTGAGCCAACAAGCTGTATAAACATACTTAAATGCAAGCTAATATCAGATGGCTCTTATTTCATATCCTGGCTTTTGTTCAATAGTCTCCAGTTCTGTTAATGAACACTTTTCTGCCAACAACTTTTAACAAAAAAATAACATATGCTTACTCAATTCTTGTATGTAGCCCTTGATATATCCCAGTAACTGATATCCATTTTCTTTGCAGCCAAAAACAGAAAATGTGTATCGAACTCCAGGCTGGAAGACACCTGCAACCCAAAAATATCATTCATAAACTTTCATTATGGGGCTATAACTTTAAAATAAAAATATATTTTCATATCAAGCAGGTAGAAAACAGCCTTTTGAATTAGAGGAATGTATTTTTTTACAATAGACATTGAGAAAATGACAACTTGCCTAACAACTGGGATCTTAAAAAATAAGATGTTGAGTATAAATAAGCTGTAATAGTAATCTTCCTCAAAATAAATCTAGCAGATTCCTTGGAATCTTTCCTTTTGATTTTATTATTTGTTATTGTTACATGACTTTTTTTCTGGTTAGTTCTGAGAAGGGCTTGCATGTCTACATGACATTACTTAACATGTGCTATTGCAGGGCTGTCAAACTCCCAGGCCGTGGGCCGGATGTGTCACGCGCTGGCCACGCCTGGTTTAGTGAAGGGGGGAAAAGTCCCGATAAGTCACATGATGCCGACGTGCCAACGTGAGTTTGACACCCCTGTGCTACTGTGACCTATCAGCAGGCAGCAAGAGCCAGCGGTCCAAAGTTGCATGTGCTAAGGGATAGAGAGTTGTGTGCTTTAAACTAGCTCCTTAAGCATGGAGAGCATCCCCTTGGTAGTTGCCAGTTGGCTTCTTATAACACTTAAATTCAGTGGTGGGATTCAAATAATTTAACAACTGGTTCTCTGCCCTACTGACCGGCTGGGTAGGCATGACCATGGTGGGCATGGATAGGTGGTGTGACAGGCAGCCCTCAGCCTCCTGCACCCCCTTGGGAGCAAAAACGGGCAGCAAGGGGGATGCGCTGCATCCCCTGCACCCTGTTTTGGGCCTAGGAGGCCTCCCTGAAGCCTCCTGGGAGAGAAAACGGGGCGTGGGCAGGCACCGCACCCCCCAGACCGTTTTGGGCCTAGGAGGCCTTCCTGCACTTACCTGGGAGCCAAAATGGGGTGCATGGGGGTTCCTGGAAGGGGTGGGGTGGAGCCAGCCAATAATTTAACTACCAATTCACCCGAACCAGCCCGGACCAGCTGAATCCCACCACTGCTTAAATTGTAAAAGGTTTCTGCTTTTCTTTGCCCACTTACCCCTAATTTCAGAAAGAAAGGTGAAGTGCCGCTCTTACCTGACTTGATATTAGCATTTGTCACACTTGAAGAAAACTTTTCCCAGTGAACATCTGTACATGGCTCAGGACTATAACACCACCTCACTACGTAGCCACAAGTCACATTGGAGTCAGGATGCCAAGCAAGAAAAATACTATCATCTTTTCCAATTCCCTTTTCTATGGAAATGTCATCTGTTATAAAAGTAAAATCAAAGATCATTCCTTGGAACTATGTACAAATTTAGTATGCGAATTATGACTATAATGCAAATATGGCCCATACAAAATATCCTGTGGGTTGCCCCGTCTACATTCTCAAATGTCATTTTGATCTCAATGAACACAAATAACACGAGATCTTTTTAGGTGACCATATAATTCTTAAGTTCCATAGGCAACTTGGATTTAAAAGGGCCATGCACACCATCACTTGTGAGTATCTGTAGAGGGAGCATAGGACAAAATGTGCATGATAATGTCATGACATCAATGTGGCGACTTAAGTATTTGCATCAGGTATTATATAATTGTGGTTTTTTTGCATTATGACATCACTATGCATATTTAATCACATTGGTAATATTACAGTTTGCTGTGAATGCAGGTATTATGTTTCATCATACAGTTTGCCAGATGTTTAGACTGGTTTTGACATTTTTATCCACCTATTGAATCTTTATTAAGGACCTGGTATAGGCAGATGTTGTTGTTTGATGTTGTTAAAGGTTTCAGTCACAGAATGTAAGCTGTCCCAATTAAAGCTGCCTTTTGCAATTGACTCATGGCAATTGTGTCAATGCTGATGGTGTTCAAGTGATGCTCCAATTGTTTTGGGATTGCACCAAGGCACCTCATTACTATTGGTATTTCTTTTCTTTCTTTCTTTTCTTTCTTAGAGCCATTGCCTTTATATTTTGTGATTTTATTCAGTTATTTTATTCTGCTGCCTTCAGGCCATGCCTGTTATCCAGATTTTATTGCCTTTCTTATCAATACTTGTTAAGTCTGGAGTATTATGTGGTAGATGGTTGTCTGTTTAAATTCTATTATCATTACCAACCTAGCTTCAGTATAATTTTTCTGCTCAGGACAACTCAAAGCAGAAAACTGGATCAACTGATAGACTTTTACATGCAAATGCGTTAAATTCTATAAGACATTACCATAGTAAAAATAAGTGTCATTCTAAGTTAAAAAATGGGAATACAGTGTTAAACTTTATAAAAATACTGTTCTTTTCCTCATATAATTTGGCTCTAAGTAATGGAATATCTTAGACTTACGTTCTCAATCTTCACAACTTTAAATGCATGGATTTCAGTTCCCAGAATTCTGTAGTAAGAGGCTGGCTGGGGAGTTCTGGAAGTTGAAGTCTATGCACTTTAAAGTTCCCAAGTTTGAAAAACACTTTACTAGATTGCTAAGCCACTTAGCATGAGTGGACTTGAACTGGCATGCTACAGAGAGAATAGAACAATCCTAAATTTCATTAATAGAGGGATTCAATGAAGATCATGTGAAGTACTAATACCGCTCTATAAAGTCTTAGTAAGACCGCACCTAGAATATTGCATCCAGTTTTAGTTATCACACTATAAAAAATATGTTGAGACTCTAGAAAGAGTGCAGAGAAGAGCAACAAAGATAATTAGGGGACTGGAGGCTAAACCATCTGAAGAACGGTTACAGGAACTGGGCATGGCTAGTCTAGTGAAGAGAAGGACCAGGGGAGGTATAATAGCAGTTTTCCAGTATTTGAGGGGCTGCCACAGAGAGGAGGGGGAGGTCAACCTATTTTCCAAAGCACCTGAAGGCCAGACAAGGAATAATGGATGGCAACTGAACAAGGAGAGATTCAACCTAAAAATAAGAAGAAATTTTCCGACTGAGAACAATCAACCAATGGAACAGCCTGCCTTCAGAAGTTGTGGGAGCTTCATCACTGGAAGCTTTCAAGGAATGACTGTCAGAAGTAGGTGTAGGGTCTCCTGCTTTGGCTAGCAGGTTGGGCTAGATGGCCCACAAGGTTCCTTCCAACTCTGTTATTCTGTTCCTCCTCAGCAATGGAGCTTAATGCAAAAGCATGTGTTTTTGCTATCCACAGCAACATTGCAGGTGGAAGGCAGAAAGAGAAGCAAACAGAAGCCATGGAAGCAACACAATCACAAGAAGCACTCTGTGGCGATTGCTAGATCTGATTTCAGTTACTTCAGAAAAAATCCAGTTTTGCTTTTTTTTTTTTTTTTTTAATTTGATTTATATGCCGCCCTTCTCCGGAGACTCAGGGCGGCTTACAATGCGTTAAGCAATAGCCTTCATACTTTTGTATATTTATACAAAGTCAACTTATTGCCCCCACAAACTGGGTCTTCATTTCACCTACCTTAGAAAGGATGGAAGGCTGAGTCAACCTTGAGCCTTGGAGAGATTCGAACCAGCAGTAAATTGCAGGCAGCTGTGTTAATAACAGGGTGCTTAGACCACTGTACCATCAAGGCTCTGTTTCCCTTCTTCAGGGAATCATGGCATTTCTTCAAGATAACCCCTTGAAAGCTGCAAGCTTGAGTTTTGGGCTGGCAGGGGTGGCCCATGATTTTCTTGAGAACATTCTCTCTGTGTATCCTACTCAGGAGGTTTAGCATATTTGGAGTTGCTTCCTTGTACACCCCTTCCATTTACTGCCTAAGTGAGTTTAGGCCATTACTTCGGTTGACAGTGGATTCAAGTTAACAAGAATCCCTTAAGCATGGCAAAGTAATAAGTAATAGCAGGGGCACTCATAGAAAAGAATAAATCCATCTCCTCTTTTCTGAAAGCAAAACAATGTCAAAGCATAACAGAAGCATCCTTTTCTCTTATGATCTTCATACCTTAAACAGATGGGCTTTTGGCCATGAGCCAATTAGGCAAGGGGTTACCCAACCTCCCCCATCTTGTTACATTAACAGTGCTTCCATATACACCGCTCAAAAAAAGTAAAGGGAACACAAGCAGAAGACATCCGAGATCTGAATGAATGAAATAGCCTTATTAAATACTTTGTTCCTTACATACAGTAGTTTTGTGTTCCCTTTAGTTGTTTGAGCAGTGTATAAACTACTGTATGTAAAGAACAAAGTATTTAATAAGGCTATTTCATTTATTCAGATCTCGGATGTCTTCTGCTTGTGTTCCCTTTATTTTTTTGAGCAATATATATATATATATATATATATGCTTCTCCTTATTCTGGACTTTTGTAGCCGAGAGAGATATTTTAAGTCCTCCAGCCTTTGTACTGCCAACTGTGCTGACGGCATTCCTTTCTAAATTCCCTCATAAAAAAACACAAGCATATCTCAAGCAAGACACATACAAATACACACAAATGAAGCATTGTCTTCCATAAGCATCTGTAATATTTGCAAAAAAGCAGAAAGTCCAGTCTGAAGCAAGAGCCAGAGTATTCCTCATTGCCGTTTTTTAGATGAGTCAGGCTCAATGATGGGGATCTATGACTCAATATGCCTCTCAGTTACATTACGGATAATGCAGAGACACGTTGAGTCATCCAAAAATGTTCCTTTGTAAGGAACATCAGATGAGGCATAAGGATTGTAAGCTTTTCATATCAGTCAGAGCTACAGATTACAGAACCTGGAATAGTAGCTAATGGTTCCCCAGGAAAAGAAAATCCCCAGTATAATTTACAAGGAAATTCCATAATTCTAGAAATGGCATCAATCTCTTCAACTAAAGTTTATCATTAAAAAGAAGAAAAATCCTGAGTTTTGATTAGTACAAAACTATTACAGGTGTAACAAGATGGTTTCTGCACAGTGATGGCTTGTGTTGTATTTACTTACTTTACATGAATCAAAAACCTACTTCAAGGATATTAGTTTGTACTCAGGTATATGTAAAAAATGTACATAAAAAAAGCAAGTAGAAAAATAGGGACCATCTTTTGTGGGAAGATAACAGCATTCCGTGCACCTTTAGTGTTTAGTCATGCTGGCCACATGACCACGGAGACGTCTTCGGACAGCACTGGCTCTTTGGCTTTGAAACGGAGATGAGCACTGCCCCCTAGAGTCGGGAATGACTAGCACACATGTGGGAGGGGAACCTGATCCCATAGTACTAGAACATGGGTGTCAAACTCAAGACCCCGGGGACAGATTCGGCTCACGGGGTGCTTAGGTCTGGCCTGTGGGGCCACCCTAGAAACAGCGAAGGAACAGCCCACAGTGACTCTGCCAGTCAAAACAGAGCTTGGGAGGGCTGCATGCGGCCCTCCCAAACTCCGTCTTTGCTGGCAGAGGGTCACAGGAGGCTGTCGCAGCCAAAAATGGAGCTCAAAAATCCATTTTTGCTGGCAAAGCACTCGGGCCGCCAGAGGTGCCCCTGACATGAATGACGTTGAGCTGGCCACAACTACCGTGGCCACACCCACCCATCAAGGTCAAACACAACTCTGATGCGGCCCTCAATGAAATTGAGTTTGACAGCCCTGTACTAGAATATAAACATAGAAAATTCTTCCCCTTATCTACCACTCCTCTCACCATCTCTTTGTCTGTTGTTTCTTTCTTGGTTAAGTAAATCCACTGAGGGAGTGACTTGTCAGACTGGTTCTTTGTGAAGTGCCAGGTATATATAAATCAATGCTAATAAATCAACTGCTTCTGCTGGTAAGTTTTGATCATAAAACATATGCAAGTTTTTAAACATTCTCAGATGCATGCTAGCCATTTCAGGCATACAAGTTATGTTGGTCTCCTCCTCCTCCTCTTCTTTCCAATTTTAGTGAATCCTCAATAGTAGTTTGAAGTTTTAATAAATACTTTGTGCCAAGCTGTATTTCTGAAGACCTAATGAATGCTGAATATATATGTCCACTAGTATAATTCTTACTTTCAATACTTCACTACAAAGATTAGAAAAACGTGGCTCTTTCCATGGCTCCAAGATTTCTAAAGAAAGCTCTTTTCTTTTTAGGTTCATTCTCCTGGCATAGGAAACACAGCTAAATAGAATAATAAATAGATTTGGGCAAATGTGTGTGTCAATCTAGGATGAAGGGAGGGAAATGATGCAGATAGATTAGCATATATATACCTAAAATATGTTGATTTACAAGCTTTAAGTATCAGCACACTTAATTTTGCAAATGTTTGAATGTTAAGCTTCAAAATTATAAAACAGAATGGGGGAAAATATGAGAACCACCACTCTAAATAATAAGAACTATCATTCTTTTTTTTTTTTTTTTAGAAAAATTCTTGCACCAAGATTTTTCCTAATAACTACATAGCCAGGTTTGCGTTGTTATTTTCTTAACAACAGCACATAAGCTATTGGTGTTTGCTTCTTCCAGAATTTTTTTTAAAAATCACTCTAATTTACAGTCCTGGAATTTCCAAATTCGACCTTTCTTAGCTATCTCAAGGTACATTTTGATTTATTTTTAAATTTCTATAGCTGCCAATCTCAAATAAATTCCCTCTGGGTAGTTAGCAATCATGAAATCAATTAAAACCAAGCACAGATGTAATAGAAAAGGAAATATATATATATGTATAACAAGCAAGCAAAATTATGATCATAAATATCAATATAACCAGAAAAATAATTATTAATCCATCTTAATAAGCCACTATCCCCCAATTCCTGAAAAAGGTGGACACACATTGAAATTCAGTTGGATGCTGACACTAAAACCTCCATATTTGGGTAAGCAAGCTTCAATCTGGCCCCATTAGCAAGGCAATAGGATCATGATTCACATACATTGCTTGTTATTCTGACTTGTTTGAAAGCTTTTATCCATCATATCCAGGCTCATTAGAAACTGAGTGGAAGTGCAATTAATGGAAGACATCTTGTTTACTTGCTTAAGAAGAGAACCATATGCTGCCAAAAACCTTGTTCCAAATTCAGCTTATAAAAGCAATGCATGATCATCTAAATTTTCCCACACTCTCAGAGCAGGTAGAACATCTAAAGTTTGCGCCAGGGGTGATATTCACTTACCTTCACTACCGGTTCGCAAATGTGAGCGTGTGCCATCTCCGTGCATGCACAGGACCTTCTGCACATACGCAGAGCGTCAAAAACAGGACATGATGACATCCGGGCAGGTGGGCAGAGCCTCCCGCAGCCTCTACCAGTTTGCTCGAACCGGATAGAACCGGCTGAATACCACCACTGTACTTTGTGCCAATTTGTTTATAGGACTTTTAACGGAAACTGAAATACTGCAAATATCACCTACAGTATTTTTTTTTTATCAGCATGCTTTAAAAAAAGTGAAAATGTAATATTGTTGTTTTTAAACACAACGTCTCACTGGACCTCTTCTGCTCATTCCTCCCACAACTTATAAACAATGTCAATTTCCCCTTTTACTTACCCGCTGGAAGCTCAGCACTATTGATTGAAGAAGGAGGAGAAACACCCGCCTTATTCTTTGCCTTCACTGTAAATATGTAATCATTCTTCCCAAGATTTATTTTGGTGGAGTTGTGGGATGCAGGAACTGATTGATTCTTTGTGGATTTATCCGGAAGGGTCCAATATACCTCATAAGTCTCTATTATTCCATTGCTTTCAAGAATAGGGAGTGGCTATCCAGAAAAAGATTGTAAACAGAAGCAGATAATTATTCCAAGGAAAAGGAGAAAGGAAGTGAAAGAGTAAACAAATGCCTTTAAAAAGTTTGTAATAAATATTCTTCATTGTCCTCTATTTACAAAACACTTGGCAAACCGTTTACTGTATTTTTCAGGCTATAAAACACACTTCCCCCCCCCAAAAAAAGTGGGTGGAAATGTCGGTGCATTTTATAGACCGAATATAGCCCTGTTTTTGGCCTCCTGAAACCCCCCCCACACACACACAGGTCCTGTTTTCAGCAAAAACGGGACACACAGAGGGTTTGGGAGGTCAAAAACAGGCCCGTTTTTCGCAAAAACAGGATGCACGAGAGTATGGGAGGTCTGCAGAATGCTCCTGGGGTCCGGGGAGGGCAAAAACCAGACGCACTGAGGCCAAAAACTTTTTTTTTTCTTTTTTCCTCTTCAATCTAGGTGCGTCTTATAGTCTAAAAAATACGGACTAAATATATATATCTGTCCTTATTGCACAAAGACATAAAAATAGGCCAGAAGACAACATTTTGTGACACAGGTCAAAGGAGTCTTGGCATGGGGTACACAAGATGGCTAAAGGAGCCTAAAGCATGTCTCGCCTGAAGAGATATTCTACACATGCCAAAATCACAACCATGGCTGACCATCCACATATATTCCTGACATTGTTGCATCTGACCATGTTGAAGATGTTTTTACAAAACCATTTCTCCTGTGACTGCTGAGAGGAGAAATCTTCCCAGGGTTCTCATACGCCTTTGAAAGGGTTATGTGAAAGTTCAAGGAAAGTTCAATCTTCAGTCAGTTAAATATTGAGCCAGTTTGGTTTAATGGTTAAGGCACCAGGCTAAAAACCAGGAAACCATGAGTTCTATTCCCTGCTTAGCCATGAAAGCTGGCCAGATGACACTGGTCCAATCATTCTCTCTCAGCCCAGCTCACTTCTCAGGGTTATTCTTGTGGGTAAAATAGGAAGAGGAAGGTGTATTAGGTATGTTTGAGGCCTTGAATTACTTATAAAGTAATAAAGGCGGGATTTTAAAAAAATCTAATAAAATAAATTTTAAAAATTAATATTCAAAACACAGCTCATGGGAACTTAGACACAAATATCTTAATATATACCTTCCAAAAGAGGGTAACTGTATCTTCATTAGCATCTTTTTCTCTCCAGATATCAAGCTCTCTTGCTGGTTCTAGGAGAAAAATGGTTAATTGCATTAATGAAAATATTAATTGTTAATAGGCATATACAGTATATAGTAGGTACATTTTCTTTAAGATGTTAGACTTTATGTATTGTCCAATTTTTATTCATCAGGAATTGTACAACCTACTACACTGAAACTTTTTCATTGTTTGGAAAAAAATATATTTATAGTTACAGAGACGTAGAGTTTTCTTATACCATTTAGCTTAAAGATATTCTGGATACACCAAGTGTTACTTACTACTAACATTTCAATTAATTATTTGCAAAATAGGTCTAACATATTAGTTGTACAGATTAACATTTCAGATGATCTGAAATTTGTGAAGTTTTGAGTTGTGAGTTTGGAAGTTTTCATTTATGTAGTAAAGTACCCCACAAAGAGGTAAGATAAAGTTTTACTGAGGAACAGCCTTTTAAATGATCAACTATTATTTCTGCTTCTGTTTTTGGAACTTTTTTTTTTTTTTTACATAGAATCTTCCTGACTCTATCAAGCAATAGATCAGTGTGACACAACAGTACAGTAAATCTCTGATTTGGAAGAGTTTCTGGTGCTTTATAAAATTTATTCTGGTGGTTATGACCTGTAAGACACAATATGATTATTAAGGATTCACTTCTCAGATTCATGATTCCTGTTGTGATTGTGTGTAGATAATCATCTGTTCTGTAATTTTACAGTGCTTTCATGTTGATCCCATGTGAAAATCATGCAAAATGGACAGGATCCATACCTTGCCTGTTTTTGTGCCATGGCAAAGCCAAAAATGGTCAGATTCATAATTATTAGGATGCACTTGGTGCTTAGAGATGTCTGATAGTGCTTTCAGGTGAATCTCATAATCATAGAAAATCATGGGACTCATGTTTAATTTTAATTTCCATTCATAGCCATCCAAACTTCAATACACTTACGGGCTTGCTGGGTTGTATAGGTTTTTTTCGTGCTCCAATCACTCCATTTCCAAAAGAAAGGCTTTGGAGTCGCACAGCGAACTTGGAAATCGTATTTTGTGAATGGGTGCAATTTGTCCACTGAGATTGTGTAACGTGAATTTTCTGAATCATCCAGCAGCACATTCTTAAAGAAGAAAACAGGAACATATCTTTAGATCAAAGAGCTGATGGTTAGAATTATTGTTGCATGGTCCAGATTTTATTTATTTTATTATTTTATTATTACAGTTCTATGCCACCCACCTCACTAGATGACTTACAGTCCATATAAAACATGACAACAATAAGCAAGAACCATACAGTTAAAATTCAATTAACCAAGAAGGAAAAGAGCAGAGTGCACCCAGGAACAGGTGGCATCTAAGTAATCCATTAAATTCAAGATGCCACTCCCTTATTGGGTCCTTCAGCCAGCTGGCAGACCCAGGTCTTCAAGCCCTTTTGGAAGTCCAGAAGGCAGGTGCAGATCTCACTGGGGGGGGGGGGGGGGCGGCGCAGGATGCTCGAAAGGTTAGGTGCCTTAGTAGAAAAGGTTCTTCTAGAACCTTCTGCCAGGCAAAATACCTTGACCAATGGGGTCTGCAATATACTTCTTCTGCCAGAGCAGATAAGCAATAGCACAGACTTATAGACCGCTTCACAGTGCTTTATAGCCCTCTCTAAGCGGTTTACAGAGTCAGCCTATTGAGCCCAACAATCTGGGTCCTCATTTTACCCACCTCGGAAGGATGGAAGGCTGAGTCAACCTTGAGCCTGGTGCGAGTCGATCTGCCAAATTGAAGGCAGCCGACAGTTTTGAAAGAGTTGCATTACTTTTCTTTAACTACAATTTACAGTAGTTTACAGTAGTGGGACTTTCACTTTTTGATCAAGGAGAGAGACGTTTGTTTGGTCTGGTGTGCTTATGGCATTTCAGAGGGACCCTGAAGTTGCAGGAGACAAGGCCAAGTGGGGTGGGTTTCTTCTTGTTTTGGGGGGCAGTTGAAATGTTTGACTTCTTAAGCTATGTTTAAGCCTATCATGGGGCTTTGGGTACACCTGCTTTTACACCTGTAAACAATGAGAAATTTGTCATCAATTTTCAACAACTGTGGTAAAAGGAAATTCCAGGGATTGTGTAGAACACGGGTGTCAAACTCAAGGCCCGGGGGCTGGATCCAGCCCACAAGGTGCTTAGATCTGGGCCGCGGGGCTGCCCTGAAATCAGTGAAGAACCAGCCTGCGGTGCTTATGCCAGAGAAAACGGAGCTCGGGAGGGTCGCACTCCCCCCCCCATGAGATCTATTTTCACTGGCAGAGGGTTATAGGAGGCCATTGCAGGTGAAAACAGAACTTGGGAGCTCCTGACAGGCGCCCCCAACACGAGTGACATAGAGCTGGCCACACACACCCAGCACCCCCAAGGTCAAACATAACCCTGATGAAGGCCTCAGTGAAATCGAGTTTGACACCCCTGATGTAGAAGATCCCACTCCTATTAAATGCTTGGGATCTGGCTTTTGAGGGACTATCCTTCCCACTACAAACCAGTTGGATCTACAGGCGGTGTTTTAACAATGCTGCAGTGCTTAGTGTATGGGACATGCATTTTCATTGGATAGAAACATGGCATATAAATTAAGCAAATGAATAATAGATAACAGTTCTTTACAAGAGGAAGAGACCACAACCTAAACCACATGTATAATCCAAGTATAAAGACTGAGTCAAGGCATGTCTAAGAAGAAGCCCCAAAGGATGAGTATAATTTTGCCATATAGACATGGCAATAATACGTTATAAAAATGTCATAGGATGCCTACCCTTTCTTCTTGGGAAGCGCCATTGGAAATTTGAACCTGACATTGCAGTTTGGTTTCTCTGAAATTGCCAGGCAAGAAAAATGACAGTCTGAAACTGGCTGAAGTTATGCTGCTCACTTTTAAGTCTGTAGGAGTATGTGGGTAAACTGGAAAAGAAAAACATATTTCATTAAAAGAAATCCTAACTTGCGTTTTTATTCACTGGGAAACCAATGCAGCATAAAACGGTAAACTAAGAGATTAGCATGCAACCAGTAAGGATTTTGTTTTTACATTCCACCAAAATCCTTGCTGGGAATAAATTTGAATTTTTCACTGATCCATGATGACCTATAAATTCTGTCTAGAATGAAGTCTGGCTAGCACTTATCCTTCTCTACACATATACATACAAAAACACAAACACACCCCTACTATTTCTCAGTTATTCCTGCAAGAACCTGATCTGAAATTACAAAACTTCCCACCACTACTTTTAACTGCTTGATCCATTAGGGCAGGTCCTTTTAAAGTTTCTTCTGCTGATCATTAAGCCACTGGTGGCTCTTCTTGCTTGTTTCCAATCAGCTTCTCTTCCCCTCTTTCTCCAAGGTCATCCATACATTCCATCACATTCTTTCTCAGACTTAACTAGCTAACAGTCCTGGGCTGTTGCAGTGGAGAAAATAGGAGCAATCTGAATGTGATAGGGAAAAGGAAAGATACTAAAATATATCAGAAGTTTGTTAGATTTATATCCTGCCTTTTATTCAGGAGCTCAAGACAGAATTCACAGTGCTGTCTTCTTCTACTTTTCCCCAACAACAATCACCACCACCATTGAGGTAGGTGGAATGAGAAGCAATGAGTGTCTCAAAATCATTCAGTGAGCTTCCACAGCTGAGGATGGACTCAAAGTTGGCTCTCTCTGTTTCTACGTTCAACACTTTGTCCATTAAACCACACACACACACACACACACACACACACACACACACACACACACACAACACACAGGGAAAGGGAGAGGGAGAGGGAGAGGGAGAGGGAGAAGAAGAAGAACCATGCTCTAAATGGAACACTTCTTTTCCATGGCAGATAAATAAAATTTCAAATTTTGATTAACTTCAATTTTTTTAAAAAAAGGTTTTTCACCAGAGCACAGGGGAAAAATCTCACCTCTATGCCTAATATCAATTAAGAGGGAAGCTTCTGCTTGGCCAAGATGACTGGAAGCATGTAGAGTGAAGTTGTATTCTGTTTGGTCCTTCAGGAGTGTAAAATTACAGTGATAATATTTACAATTTCGAGGAACAATTGCACACGACATATTTTTCCCAGAGTTTCTGAAAAGTTAAAGAGAAATGACGATTAAAAATGGAGAAAACATCTCATAGAAAAGGTCAGACAAATCACAGTCACGCAGTTATTTCAATGGAGAAATAAATTGACTCAAAAAAACAGATTTCATTAAATAAGCCGTATCTTGTGTTGGCCCTCTGTTTTTCCACTCCAGATCAGCCCTGCTATAAGGAGGAAGGGGAAACTGGCTTTCTGCCAGGGGAGGCTTCCAGGGGTGGGGGAGGGGGGAGAGGAATGGCTACGATCTTCAAAAGCTGGACAAAATTATAATCTTCGAATCTGAAGAAACCCTGGGTAAAAGATTTTCTCCTCCGTCTACTTTCCATCCTCGATGGAATTCCATCTCTATCCCACATCACTTACTGTGTTACTTTCACCCACTATCTTATTATCACCAACAGATTGTGTGAATGGGGGATCCTTAGTGCCCTCTGCACCAGTGGTAGGTTTCAAACATTTTTACTACTGGTTCTGTGGGTGTGGCTTGGTGGGCATGGTGTGGCTTGGTGGGTGTGGCTTGGTGGGCGTGACAGGAGAAGGCTACTGTAAAATCTCCATTCCCACCCCATTCCGGGGGAAGGCTACTATAAAATCTCCATTCTCTCCCCACTCCAGGGGAAGGTTACTGCAAAATCCCCATTTCCTCCCAATCAGCTGCGACCTTGGAGGCAGAGAATAGATGGGGGCGAGGCCAGTCAGAAGTTTTACTACCGGTTCTCCGAACTACTCAAAATTTCTGCTACCGGTTCTCCAGAACTGGTCAGAACCTGCTGAAACCCACCTCTGCTCTGCACTTGGTTGTTCTCCTACAGATGTAATGAAACATTTGCAAGAAAACAGCCAAGCTCAGAGAGCACCAAGGACCCCTCATTTCAATCCTCAGCTACCAATATTTTTCTTTATCAATTGTGAAATGTCAAGTCCAATTGCCTCTTGAAAAAGCACAGTTGGGACAACCATGATCTGGACGACTGAAAATCTCCATACACATTTGAGACAGAATGGCTGGCCTAAAAGACATGGCTGAGAGTAGACTTCACCCTAGATCAGAGGTCTTCAAACTTGGCAGCTTTAAGACTTGTGGACTTCAACTCTATGCTGGCTGGAGAATTCTGGGAGTTGAAGTCCACAAGTCTGCCAAGTTTGAGGACCCCTGGCCTAGATCAACCTCTTAACCACTACAACATATTGGTGCACACTCCTATTAGGTCATCATAGTTGTTATTGTGATGGCCCTGGAAAACCAAAAGGAATGCATAAGATATATGGCCATTTATAAGTAGTAGCTCTCCACAGACTTATCCCATCGGGTCAACCTACAACAGGGGTGTCAAACTCAAGGCCCGGGGGCCGAGGGTGCTTAGATCTGGCCCGTGGGGCCACCCTGGAAACAATGAACGACTTGCCCGTGGTGCCTCTGCCAGTGAAAACAGAGCTCGGGAGGGACCGTTTTTGCTGGCAGAGGGTTGCAGGAGGCCATCATAGCCAAAAACAGAGCTTGGGAGCCCATTTTCTCTGGCAGAGTGCTCAGGCCACCACAGGTGCCTCCGACACGAGTGACATTGAGCTGGCCATGCCCACCCTGACCACGCCCACCCCAACCACCCACCCCAAGGTCAAACACAACCCTGATGCAGCCCTCAATGAAATCGAGTTTGATACCCCTGACCTACAACCCAACCACACATATAAATAAATGACAAGTTTATCTGAATAACTTTTGTACCAAATATCACACACACACACACACACACACACACACATATATATACCAGGGGTGAAATCCAGCAGGTTCTGGAGAACCGGTAGTGGAAATTTTGAGCAGTTTGGAGAACTGGTAGCGGAAATTTTGAGTAGTTCGGAGAACTGGCAAATACCACCTCTTGCTGGCCCCAGAGTGGGGTGGGAATGGAGATTTTGCAGTATCCTTCCCCTGGAGTGGGGTGGGAATGGAGATTTTGCAGTATCCTTGTCCTGCCACGCCCACCAAGCCACATCACGCATCACCAAGCCACACCCACAGAACCGGTAGTAAAAAAAATTTGGATTTCACCACTGATATATATACATATATACATTATATATATACACACACACACACACACACATACACACACACACACATATACATACATAGATACACATACACACACATATATATTCTTCTACTTTAAAAAAAAGTACATGAAAACATACCCTTCAAACAAGGCATAATAGGTTCTTCTTGAGCCACATAATAAGGTGAACCTTTCTTCCTCCCAGTGGCATTCTATGTCCTTAAAATTCTGTGTTTCACAACTTAAATTTTGGGGGACAGTCGGAGGATCTATAGTAACAAATAGGAAAGAAGAAGTGTTACCTACAGTATATGTACATATCAGTTGAACCTACCATTTCAACAATAATTCAATAAGGAAATTAATATAAAAAGATCATTCTTTCGTGATCCATTGCTACCACACACAATTCAGCTCATGTGAAAAATGATTATCGTACTATCTAATAGAACTGACCCCACCAAAATAGGCTGCTCCACAGCATTGTCTGTTATACAGTGGAGCCAATTTTTGGAATTGGGGTAGAGACTCAGAGTTTGCTTCCTTTCAGATGTGCTTCAATTACAATTTACAGAATTACCAACCAGTTTGATAACTGAAATTAAGTCTCAACAAATATGTAGAGTTCTGGATTTATTCCAGTCAAGCATAGGCTTTAAAGCTTAGGAAGAAGCAAATAACATACATTAGTGTCTCTATGCAGACATTCAAGGCCTGAATAAGAAGGCAAACAAAATATCTAAGGAAGTTTCAACTTTGAAAGTGGCAATTTCAAATAAATTATTTGCACCATTTCCAATTCAGTCTGTAGACCAAAGAACCTATGCTACCATTTATACGAGCCATGGTGGCACAGTAGTTAGAATGCAGTACTGCAGGCAACTTCTGCTGACTGCCAGCTACCTGCAATTTGGTAGTTCGAATCTCACCAGGCTCAAGGTTGACTCAGCCTCCCATCCTTCCGAGATGGGTAAAATGAGGGCCCAGATTGTTAGGGGCAATATGCTGACTCTGTAAACCGCTTAGAGAGAGCTATAAAGTACTGTGAAGTAGTATAATTTTTTGCTGTATATTGTTTTTACCATGGCTGTTCACCGCCCTGAGTCCTTTGGGAGAAGGGCGGTATATAAATATAATAAACTAAACTAAAGTAATTGTACATACTGACTAGTTCAGGACCAAAATATCTAAAGGAATATTTTTTTCCCTATATCATCATCATCTCCTTTTTATGACCCCCATAATCCCTTGCAGGGTAGAGTCTGGGCAACTGAGTGGAGCAGAGTGTTTACTGGCCGGATGCCCTTCCTGTCGCTAATACGGAATTTTATTCAGCAGATAAATTCTCATTGTGCCCAGAGAGAAATATCTGCCTCTACCTAGGATTGAGCTCACATTGTGAGGTAACAACTCTATCTCTAGGCTACCGCACCACTCTAATATTTCTTCCTATATACACCTCGTGAAATAATTTGATCATCTTCACTGGTGCTCTATCAAAGCCTTTGCTAAATGTAGAAAGTTTTCTCCATTCTAGAGTTCCATGCTAGGATCGTATTTTGAAAGAAGCATGCTTGGGATCTGCACTGCTGTTTTCAATAATAAAAATTTCAGTTTTTCAAATTATTTGAGAGTTGCGTTTTGAAATGTAAGTGTAGAAGATAACCATGCTGAGCCCGATGGAGGGGTCAAATACATCATCAATCTCAAATCCTTTTGCGCCCACAAGAGGTCTAAGTCCAGCCCACCTTGAATTCCATTGACTTATATCTACCGCTAACTCACTTTGACTGTTAGTAGTTCAGATTCTTGTAGAGAACTTTAGCATACAATAAACCTACTGTATATTAATTTGAACTGCCTGGACTCTTAGTTTCTGCGCTTGACAGTACGACACATACATAGAAAGTAGCTTTTACATATTTTATTTTATTTCATTTTATTTATTTCATTTCTCCTTTTATTGTTTTCAGCAACTTTTCTTTTTTTAATCTTTGTCATTCACCCAAATTGTTTACCCATACATGGATCTACATAGAATAGATAAACCATAAAATATAAGGAAGAAATTAACACTTACAGCCCACAAATAAAACCGTTCCAGTAACGGAGATTGCTCCTCCTTCCTTTTCTACTTCACACCAGCCATTAATATTAGAATTAGGGCCAGGAATAATATTTTGCACAAAGATTGTCTGGCTCCATTTGGTGAGAGGGGCAACCTCACACTTCAGAGTTTTGCACGAAGCATAATCAATACTGACGAGAGTGTATCCAGGTTGATATACACAGCAGAAAGTGACGTTGGAACCTACCGCCATCACTTTATCTAAAGGGTACATTTTTGGGTTTTTGCTTGTGGACCTTCCTGCAACAGAAAGACAAGACTAATCAGAACGTATTATATTATTATAATACAATTATTATAGGATTACTAGAATTGTTAAAATTTATGAGAAGGCAAATACTGAATAGTGAATTACAAAAGCAGAATATACATGCTGATACGGAAAGCTGTACAATTATATTACATTGTTGTGTTGCTTGTGTTTTTTATTTGTTTGTATTTGTATTTGTTTTCTTTTTTTCCCCTTTTTTTCTTTTGTACTTGTGTTTTTTAAAGTTGGAAAATGTTCAATAAAAACTGTTTAAAAAGAAAAAAGAAAGACAAGACTGAGAAAGGAAAGAATTGGCAACATTGATTATTCAGCAGAACAGCTGCACACAACAATCCATTTACAGGCCCAGCCTCTGGGGTATTAGAACCACTGAGCTATAATCTCCATCACAAAGAACGGGAAGCACAACAGAACACAGGTGCCTTTGAGAAGGTACACTTAAAACTAACAGTATTAATTAAAATTACTTGTCCTGAAAAAAACTCAGACTTTAGAAAAATAGATATACCAATTCTGGATGTGAAAACAAACTAAACTCACAAAATTTAACCCTGGAACTGAGGAAATTTTCCTGTCAGTGAGAACAACTAATCAGTGGAACAACTTGACTCCAAAAGTTGTGGATGCTCCAACACTGGAGATTTTTAAGAAGAGATTGGACAACCATTTATCTGAAATGGTATAGGATCTCCTCAGAGGTGGGTTTCAGCAGGTTCTGACCAGTTCTGAAGAGCCGGTAGCGGAAATGTTGAGTAGTTCGGAGAACCGGTAGTAAAAATTCTGACTGGCCCCGCCCCCATCTATTCTGCCTCCCGAGTCCCAGCTGATCGAGAGGAAATGGGGATTTTGCAGTAACCTTCCCCTGGATTGGGGAGGGAATGGAGATTTTACAGTATCCTTCCCCCGTCACGCCCACCAAGCCATGCCCACCAAGCCACACCCACAGTACCGGTAGTAAAAGATTTTGAAACCCACCACTGGATCTCCTGCTTGAGCAGAGGGTTGGACTAGAAGACCTCCAGGGTCCCTTCCCACTCTGTTATTCTGTTATATTCTTTTACTCTAAAGATTCCCAACGTTCTTGTCCCACAGACCCAAATTTTAAGAACAGCTGTCTCACAAAATGCCAGAAGATAAACACATGAAATCATATCCATCATTCCCTTTAACCTCTCAAGATGCTCTCTACTTCTTCACCTTACAATTGAATTGTTTCTGGCAGATGGGCATATTTCTAAGCAAACCACTGGTTGACAACTCTCTATCATTCTTATCTTCTTGAAATGTCTCTAGATAAGTGCGGGGGCCATTAAAACTATTGGAAACAGAAGAGATGCTTGAGTCTGGGCCCTCTCCATTCATTGTCCACCTCCCTCTCCCTCCCTCCCTCTCTCTAAATTAAAATAATCTAAAACAACAACAACAGCAACCCAAAATAAAATCAGATGGAGCATTGACTTGATAGGCACCAAGGGAACCCATAGGTGCCATACTGGGATCCAGGCTCGGCAACTCAGCAACGGCAACAAAAACAGCTGCTGATTGTACCACCTGCTATGGGTAGATCTTATAAACACCCAAAGGAGGCTCCAGGCATTATAAAAAAACAGTGCTCATTTTTCAACCTAAACAGAACCACACAGACATATGGCTATACTACAAGAGAAGACAACTGAGGGAACTCCAGTTTACTTCAACCCTTAGCATGCCTCACTATAGGTAGCCCTCAATTTACAACCATAATTGAGCCTGGCATTATGGTCATACGTTGTGGACGTAGGTTGAGGCATTATGTGATCAGATTCAAAGTGATGATCATTTTTACAATGATCATAACTTTATGATCACTGTTCTCTTCATTAAGTGAATACAGTGATTATTAAACAAACATGCTAAGTGAATTCATTTTCCCCTATGGGTATTTTTTGCCAGAAACCAGCAGTAAACTTCAGAAACCGGCAAAAGAGAAATGACACAATTCACATGACGGGGGGATGTTGCAAATGGTTGTTAAGATGAACTTGGCTGTCAACCACCCAAAATACGACTGTGGATGTATGTGTGTGGCCATCAAAATTCTGAAAACAGATGGGAAATAGTTCTGAAAAGCTCCATTGTAACTGGTCTCATTAAGTAACTGGTCTCATTAAGTGACCAGTCATATGTCAGGGAATACCTATATTAGTCATCCTTCTTAGGGTCACTGGAAAACCTTAGCAATATGTTGGGAGTCATATATTTTCTACTTCAGCAACAGTGTTTCTAGGAGTTGCAGTGTTGTTGTTTTGTGCTATTAAAATGGACATTTAGGAAGAAAACTAAACATATAATCCAATCCAAGATTCCCTTCTACTGTTGAAACCAGTATCTGTAACCTGTTGCTTATGATTGAGGATGTCATAAACAGCCATCAATATTAGTAACTATTGAATGCTAAATCCACCATATATCTGCCCCAGTTCTTTCCCTCAAACATCCAAATTACTTGCCATGACATAACAATACAATAACAGAATAACAAAGTTGGAAGGGACCTTGGAAGTCTTCTAGTCCAAGCCCCTGCTCAAGCAGGAAACCCTATACCATTTTAGATAAATCATTGGCCAATCTCTTCTTAAAAACCTCCAGTGTTGGAACCTACAACTTCTGAAGGCAAGTCATTCCACTGGTTAATTGTTCTAACTATCAGGAAATATCTCTTTATTTCTAGGTTGGTTCTCTCCTTGGTCAGTTTTCATCCACTGCTTCTTGTCCTGCCTGCAGGTGCTTTGAAGAATAGGTTGACACCCCTCTTCTTCATGGCAGTCCCTAAGATATTGGAATACTGCTATCATGTCACCCGTCTTACTTTTCATTAAACTAGACATACCCAATTCCCACAACTGTTCTTCATATGTTTTAGTCTCCATTCCACTAATCATTTTTGCTGCTCTTTTCTCTCTCGACACCTTTTCTATATCACGGTGACCAATACTGGATGCAATATCCCAAGTGTGGTCTTACCAAGGCATGATGAAGTATTATGTGATCTTGATTGACATCCTTACCATAACTGCTAGGAATGCATTTCACAGGATAACTGAATGTTGTATCAAAAACTGTTTCCTTTTGTCAGTGCTAAGGTGTCCCATCTCTACCCGTGACTTATAGCTTCTTCCAGAATCATACAACCAGTGGTGGGATTCAGCCAGTTCGCACCAGTTTGGGACAACCGGTTGTTAACTTTCTGAGCAGTTTGGTGAACTGGTTGTTGGAAGAAATCATTAGGGCAGAGAACCGGTTGTTAAATTATTTGAATCCCACCATTGCATCCAACCACTGGTGAGCAGTAGTGGAAGCCATTTTTATGTTGACTCAGCAGTGGGCGGATAATGTTCAAAGGTGTTCAAAGGGACGCACAAATCTCTTCCATTCAGTTTCAATGGAATATTTCAACTTCTCCACTGGGACAGGAATAGGAAAACCATCTTCCTATCTTTGTTATCTATATCGTGCCTGATGTAATTTCTTCTAGTCCCCTTCTTTTCAAGCTAATAAAATCAATATTTATTTATTTATTTATTTAGACGTGCTTATTTAATGTATATTGGAGGTGGTGTCCCTTTGAGAGCTGTATGCAACAAAATTTCATTTTAATGTATGCTGGTTAGTGTACATTCAAAGTGACAATAAAGTTACAGTTCTATTTCTATTCTATTCTATTATTTTAAATTGTAGAATTGGGTCCCTTAAGGTGATGACCCACTTTAAAATCATCCCGACTTACAGTAATGAGAAGACTCTATTACAGTCATAAGTTGAGGACTCTCAGTATAACATGCCAGGTACACCTAGTTATAGTCCATGCAGGGGTAGATTCTACTTACCTTTACTACCGGTTTGCAGCGGGGCCGCTTGCGCACGCGCTCTTCTGCGTATGCGCAGAAGCGTTTTGATGATGTCGGGGTCAGTGGGCGGAGCCTCCAGCCGGTTTTACTACCAGTTCTATAGAACCGATGCGAACCAGGGGCAACCCACCACTGATTCCATGTTATCAGTGCCTTTTAGTAAAAATAAGAATATAATCTAAACTAGAATCTAAATTGTTCTGGAAGCATCTTTACTTTTAGTACAAGATTTTAAACCAAAACTTCCATAGTTCTCCCATACTTTTCTATTTCTAGTAATAGCAATAGTTTATTGCTACTAATAAACTATTAATAAACCATTAATAATAGGGTAGTTAAAATTCAGTCTTTCATCCATTTAGAAAACAGCAACCCATGTACAGAAACTCTTGGTACTGAATGGTAAGAAGAAAACGAATCAGCTAGTCGTTCATCTAATACTTTGATAGCCCATCAATAGTGGCACATTTGATGAGAGACTCTTCTTATTCCAAAAGTTGGGCTCAATCCCATCATCTTACCCGAAATGTTTACAAGTGGGCTCCATTCACTCCACATCTTCCTTCCAGCAAAATTTTTCTCATTAAGAAAACAGCGAATCCTAAAGTAGTGAGTGGTGCAATTAAAAGGCAGATCTGATGTCCATTCCCAACGAAGGAGAGTATCTTTGCTGCCAACTGATGTATTCAAGGTCTCCTGAAATTGCAAGATTTGTTTCACAGTTATATTTACCAAACCTACTAATCACTGTGCAAGACCAGAATTTAGGCAAAAAGAAGACTATATTAATGTTCATTGTATTCATGCAGATTTCCTCATCTTTTCCCACCCCAATTGTATTGATCCTGGGAGGAGGGGTGATTAAAAGAATCATATTGAATTAGAATATTGATATTATTCCAGATGTTTAGGAACAATTTTTGGAAACAGTCATTCTCTATTGCTAGAGACCATCAGGTTACACAAACACATATACACACACATGCACAAATGGAGAGATGTAAAGAGAGACAACTTACTAGTGCTATTTCCTCCATTGGATCTTTACGCAGAATCTGAATTTGCCAACTAGAATCAATTTGATATTGAAAGACTGATCCGCCATCATACCATTCCAGAATTGCTGTGTCAGCTATATAATCTGAAGTCAGTCCATGAATACGAGGCATCAGAGGAACAAGTACTGGGTGGAAGAAAGAAGGTTAACTGGACTCAGAATTACTGAATGTCAATAAGAGTTTTGAACAGATAGTCTCCTACAGCAAGGATTTTTTTTAAATCTAGTGAAAATAACTATTCCACCAAACTTTCTTTTACAGTACTGATACAGTACTTCTACTGATTAGAATAGAATAGAATAGAATAGAATAGAATAGAATAGAATAGAATAGAATAGAATAGAATAGAATAGAATTCTTTATTGGCCAAGTGTGATTGGACACACAAGGAATTTGTCTTAGATGTACATGCTCTCAGTGTACATTAGGAGAATACAATACATTCATCAAGAATAAAAAGATACAACACTTAGTGATAGTCAAGGTTACTAATAAACTATCAAATCGTACTAGGAAACAAATAAAAACAATATACAAGCAACATGGTTATAGTAATAAGTGGGAAGAGATAGGTACTAGTAAGGAAGAGAAGATTAATAGTAGTGCAGACTTAGTAAATTATTTGACAGCGTTATGGGAATTAGTTGTTAAAAAGAGTGATGGCATTTGGGAAAAAAACTGTCCTTGTGTCTAGTTGTTCTGGTGTGCAGTAGTCTATAGCGTTGTTTTGAGGGCAGAAGTTGAAACAATTTATGTCCAGGGTGTGAGGGGTCTGTAGATATTTTCACAGCCCTCTTTCTGACTAGTTCAGTATACAAATCCTCAATGGAAGGCAGGTTGGTAGCAATTATTTTTTCTGCAGTTCTAATTATCCGTTGAAGTTTTCAATGAAATGAAATCTTTGATGAAGGTTTCATCAAAGGAGAATATGTAACATGAAAAGTACAACTGATAATATTGTTATGAGCCATGGTGGCACAGTGGTTAGAATGCAGTACTGCAGGCTACTTCTGCTACCTGCCGGCTGCCTGCAATTTGGCAGTTCGAATCTCACCAGGCTCAAAGTTGACTCAGCCTTCGATCCTTCCGAGGTGGGTAAAATGAGGACCCAGATTGTTGGGGGAAATATGCTGACTCTGTAAACCGCTTGGAGAAGGCTGTAAAGCACTGCGAAGCAGTATATAAGTCTAAGTGATATTGCTATTGACAAGTGTAAATGGCTTTACTGGAAATTGAATTTACCAGTGTATTCTCTAACCACAGGCTAAAAAGAAAACAAGATCATGTTATTTTGCCACAATCTTATATGTACTTTTGTTTTAAACTTTAACTAGATTGCATTGAAAGATCTTAACTGTAGTGAGGGCTTCACACTGAATACTTGAATTCAGGAGTCATACTCTTGTGAAAAAAACTGTACATCAAATCTTACTATTTTAAACTACAGGAGAATTTCACATTCTCATAAAATTGGAAGGTTTCCCTAAGTCATAAACAGCCAAATTATTATGAAATATTGTGGGAAATTACTGTCTGGCTGAATTCCAAAATAGAACATCATCTCTAATCTACCCTCTGCCACTGTATTCTCAAAATGGAGAAAACGCCCTTTCCATTTTATAAACAGGAAAAACAAACAGAATTTATACCAAAAATCAAAGCTTCCAAAACTTGAAAACAGGATATATGTATTCTGAGAAATATCAATACACACGTGCACACAGAAATCATATAACATGCTATCTTAATATGTAGGAATTATATGAAATAATTTCTCTCATGCATCACCTTAGTTGTCATCCTATATAACATACAGAAAGAACCAGCTAATCAGAAATAGATATTTTGTTATTAGCCAAAATAATTCTCATTTACTTTCCTGAACCCTCTGCAGATAGCATAAAGGAGTCACAACATGTTACACCTAGTATTCAGCTGCCCTGATCATCAGTGGAGAAAGCATAGCAAATCTTAAATGGAATCCAGACCCTTGGATTAGAAAGTCCTTGTTCTCTCTTTCCAACTATGTTATCTGTAGATTACGTCACATCAAATTTTTTAAAAAACCAATTAACTTCACTGGAAATGCTTTTTCTCCCTTCCATTTTATTAATGTGCAGGAGGACACAATAATCTCAAATTTAACAAGTACTCTGTATTTATTATAAATTTCAGGGCAAGCTGGACATTTTGGATTGCATAAAACATACTTTGATCTAGAAAAATACATGGAGAATTCAGGGTAGTGCTTTATTTTAAGACTGCATAAGAACTTTAATGTAAGCCTGAAGCTCACCTGCATCTTAACTCCAAAGTTAGCTACTAAATTCCAAACATTCTATATAAAATATAATATAAAATATAAAAAAGGTATACTTACAAATGTCTTTTTCAGGAAGCACAAATTTGTTTTTAGCTAGGGGATTTTTCCCTTCCTCCGCTGAATTGAAAGTGGTTATCTCAATCTGCATATGGTCAAAGACAATTAATTCAAATGTTCCCTTTTTTTCCTTGGTTAATGAACATTGTGGTTTGGAAGAACTGCAGAAAGGGAAAGAGAAAGTTCAGCTTAGCTATTGGAAATCATTTTAAATGACAAAGGTCAGAGGAATTCACAATACCTTGGCTGAAGACTGAAATCTCTGTCTAAGGTAAAATTAAATAATAAATTGAATTTACCAGTGTAAATACATAAGGTAAAGGTAAAGGTTCCCCTCGCACATATGTGCTAGTCGTTCCCAACTCTAGGGGGCGGTGCTCATCTCCGTTTCAAAGCCGAAGAGCCAGCGTGGTCCGAAGACGTCTCTGTGGTCATGTGGCCAGCATGACTAAACGCCGAAGGCGCACAGAATGCTGTTACCTTCCCACCAAAGGTGGTCCCTATTTTTCTACTTGCATTTTTTACGTGCTTTCGAACTGCTAGGTTGGCAGAAGCTGGGGCAAGTAACAGGAGCTCACTCTGTTACGTGGCATTAGGGATTCGAATTGCCAAACTTTCTGATAGACAAGCTCAGCATCTTAGCCACTGAGCCACCATGTCCCCTCTGTAAATATATACCATAGACTAAAAAAAACCATAGGCACTGAAGAGGCTCTCCAGAGAAAGCAGGACATTTTTTTCCTGTTTTGATGCTCCTCAAACATATATAACAAGAAGGTTACAAAAAAAGAACCCCTATTTTGCATGCAAAAGACTTACTGGCTATTAAATTACTCCAAGTTCATAGTGTATTTAATAAAGTGTAACAGCAACCTGGAGTAGAAATGGACTGAAATGGGTGGGGGGGAAATTAAAACATGAGCCAAACTACAACTTCAGCCGTATATATATAAATATCTGGATGCACTTCTATAATACTCAACAATTTCTAAAAAAAAAGTTCAGAGAAAATATTAAACTATTCCTTAGTGGCGCGATGGTTAGGATGCAGTATATCTCAGGCTAATTCTGCTGACTGCCGATTGCCAGCAGTGCAGCTGTTGGAATCTCACCGGTTCAAGTTTGAATTGAGTTTCCATCCTTCACTGGTAAAATGAGGACCCAGATTGTTGGGGGCAATATGCTGACCATGTAAACTGCTTAGAGAGGGCTGTAAAGCACTGTGAAACGGTATATACAGTAAGTCTAAGTGCTATTGCTATTGCTATTTCTTTGGGAACCCAAAGGTGCTTTTTTCAAGAGGCAACTGGACTTTCTGGTTTTGCTTTGAAGATGTTTTGCTTCTCATGTAAGAAGTTTCTTCGGAGCTGAGGAAACTTCTTGGATGAGAAGTGAAATGTCTTCAAAGAAAAACGAAAAAGTCCAAGTTGCCTCTTGAAAAAAACATATTTGGGACAACCATGACCTGGATGACTGAGAATCTCCACAGACAATTTCTTTGGGCATTTCTTTTTTTAAATATACGTTTTAGATATTTTCTGAAGATCCATATTTTTATTTCACTTTCATCTAATATATATTTCTCTGAGCACCTTTCTATTCTAAATTCTAGAAAAATGAGCATTTATATACATGATCAGATTGAGAAAGTGCAGATTTATTCTACTTCTACCGCATAGCTCCCAGCGATCAGTAAGATCCCACAGAATTGGTCTCCTCCGGGTCCCGTCAGCTAAACAATGCCGGCTGGCGGGCCCGCGGGGGAGGGCCTTCTCTGTTGCTGCCCCAGCTCTCTGGAACCAGTTACCTCCTGAGGTCCGGACTACCCCCACCCTATTGGCCTTCCGGAAAGCAGTGAAGACCTGGCTTTTCTGGCAGGCCTGGGGCCTGTGGATCTCGCTGTTCAATCTTGCGAGATCCGGCCATGGATGGTGTGCATATGTTTTTAATGTTTTTAAAATGCTTTTATAATGTTTTTTTTTAAAAAAATTATGTTCATTGTTTGAATTATTTTTGTTGTAAGCCACCCAGTCCCTTGGGAGTTGGGCGACATAGAAATATGATTCATTAAATTAAAATTAAATTAATTAAATTATTGAATTTATTCGAAAACCAAGAACCAAACAAGATTTCCTCCATTCCTTTCAAGATGGCTGTTGAAAAGCAACTGTCCAGTCAGGAGGAAGAATCAAATGGACAATTTGGTGGATTTATTACATAAACACAAGAGGACAAGGTCTTAACTTCCCCTCAGCCTTTGAACTTGATCTATTCTTTCTAGACTCTTGCCAGTCTGGGAAAATTCCTGTGAAATAGGCATAAAACAATAAAATAACTCATTTGAATTCTACAGTGTAGTTCTGGCTGTTCATGCCGTACAGTGGTTTACAACTCTAAAAATAAAACCAAACTACCATTAAATATGGTGTCAAAAATAGAAATTCTGGACAAAATAGCAATAGCAGTAGCACTGCTTCATAGTGCTTTATAAAAATTATCTTTTTGCAAAATAGGGCGAATGAGTGACTTCATATTTTTCTTCCTACTTAGAAGAAAATGCGGCAAGCCTAATCTTGATTAAAATTCTAATAATTTTCATAAGAAAAAAGTCCACAATTGAAAGAAAAACAGAGTGATTTATGATTCATGTTCTTTGGGAAAGATAACACCCTGTCTTAACCTCAAATCTGCCAAATTAGAAGCAAGTTTTCTCTTGCTGAAAACTGCTTAGCAGCAAGACCAAAGGAAACCTTTTAAGGCCTAACAGTGGTTTAATATCAAGTAATAGACAATCAAATATTTGAGATATTGGCAGAAAAAAAAGAACTTTGGGCAAATTTTGACAAACATAGATTAGCTTTGCTTTTATATATTATTGAGGGGCTGTGATAACATTTCTTCACCACTGTTGTCTGTCCAGAGATGTACAACGGAATTTTCCAGGTACCAAGTGTTTTAATTAAAGAATATAACAATGCTCGCTGCATGGCAACTTCCTGTTACATATTGAGAAAACTTTCACAGAACAAAATGTTTTATGTGTTATGTCAAGTGCCCTTTGACAGAAGTATTCAGACCGATCACGGTCTCTTGGAAGAATATCAAATGCTTCAGGCTGCTGATGTCTATCACGGGATTCTTGGAAAAAGCAGAACACCATTTACTTCTGAATCCTCATTCTTTGTAGTTGGCACAAAGATCTTTGTTTTGGTTTTAAAGGAGCCAGAGTATGGACGTATTTTTTTTAATGATGGTTTCTTCAGATCTCAGAAATGATTACCAAATGTCTTCTTTGTATTTCTTGACAACAGGCAATATATATGGTAGTTAGTCAGCTCCCTATGCTTGCGATGTTCCATGAAACTCCCAAGGATTTGCCAGCTGGTATCATTCCTTTTGCTTCCATCAAAATTCTTATTTAAAAACATGGAAGTCCTGAACTATAATGTGAATTATTTTGCCTGAATGAAGGCTGATACAATACAGTTTTAAAAAGACAAAGATAAAACTGATTTTATTCTTAAAATGGCAAGCAAGCAATGTACCAAAAGCACTCTTGTTCGTAGAGCCATCTCGTTAAGAACTTCCTCAAGTTGGCATTTGTTCTAATTTCTAAGTCACACTATTTTCAAGTTAACCTATTGCATTTTCTACACCATCTTCCCAAAATGGAAGATTTCCAGTTGTGTTGGACCAACTCTCTTCCAAAATAACTTTAGGCAATTACACAATCTGAGGTCTAGACATCTGGAGCAAGCTAGAATGTGGGAAGTTTACTTATATCTTCTCCTTCATTCTTGGAGACTTCCTTCAATAAACCATGCATTAGTAACTTCTGGATTAACTACATGTATTAGAACTATACTGTAGTATGGTCCTTGAAGATAGTTCAGATCTGAAATGCAACTAAAATGTAACTAAAACAAATCCCTTGTTTGTTTTCTGATTCAGTTGAGGAAGATAATTTGCAAATGTTGTTGTGAATGAAAATACCAATGGTGATACTATGTGACGAATGCGGTTCTTTCTACTTCACTATCATACCTGAGAGATACTTGTAGTGACCATTGGCAGAGGCCAAACATGAATGAGTTAAGTTTATTTACAAGGCCAAAGCAAACTTTTAGTTCTATAGACTCCATTGTGCTCTGTCTCTAAAGAGCCCTTTCTTAAACCAACTCCAGATATAAATTTAGTACAGCAGAGTAAAAAATCCTGGGAAAGATTTTGCATATGTTATCAGTATTGTTACCTGGTATTGTAACAGAATTCATAAGTAAGTTTTGAATCATCTCCAGCATCCGTAGTCCAGGTGCAGACAACATTATCAAGATTGTGTGTTATACATGTCAAGTTCTGAGCCGAATATGAAGAACCTGGAACCACAATAAAAATGTAAATGAACACCTACTACAAAAATCTATGCTCTGAAAACTATGAAAACTCAAAAGGTACCAATTTGGTCCGGTGGTTAAGACACCAAGCTAGAAACCAGGAGATTCTGAATTCTAGTTCTGCCTTAGGCAAGAAAGCCAACTGGGTGATCTTGGGCCGGTCACTCTTCTCAGCCCAATCCACCTCACAAAGTTGTTGTTGTGGGGAAAATAGGAGGAGGAAAGAGTATTATGTATGTTTGCCACCTTGAGTTATTTATAAAAATAGGAAAGGGAGGATAAAAATCATGGTCAATTCCTATTGCAACCATACATGAACATTTGGCGTGCCTGAAAAAATAAGTAGTCCCTGAACTTGCAGGAAAAATACCAGGAAGGAAAATAAACCCTCAATATCGAGAAGATACTTTTATTTTGTTTTAAGTTTCCTAAAAAAAAATACCCTACTGAACTGAAGTGAAGCATATAACTGAATGATCAGGAGTTTTTCATTAAATGCAATCCACATTTCCCTTAGGGTGGTTGCATTGTGAGCCATGCAGGATTCCTTCATAAATTCAGCAATACAGGTAGATGTTACCATGCTAACAGTTTCATATTACCCTACTGACTTCTGCTGATGAAATCATTTTCTTTATTTACTCCATGTATATTCCATCTTTTCCCCAGCAGATCAAGGTGGAATCATATAGTTTTTGAAATGGACACATGAGGTAGGTTGAGGTACCTTTACCAATTTGATCAATAGTAGCCAGAGAAAGAAAAAACAGAAAGTCCAGTTGCCGCCTGAAAAAGCACCTTTGGGACAACCATGACCTGGATGACTTTTAACCATACAATTTGAGATGAACACCAGGGATGGGATTCAAAAATTTTAACAACTGGTTCTCTGCCCGGTTGCTGGGTGGGCATAGCCATCGTGGGCGTAGCCTACTCTGCCTCATGCACCACGGGGAGGGCGTTTTTTGCCCTCCCCAGGCTCCGGATGCTTTTCTTGAGCCTCCGGTACTTCTGGTAGGCCCATTTTTCGCCCTCCCAAAGTCTCCATGTGGGCCCTGCACTTACCTGGCATCCAAAACGGGCCACATGGAGACTCCTGGGAGGGGAGGGGCAGGGTGGGCAGGGCCAGCCAGTTCTTGCAACTACCGGTTTGGCGAACCAGATATAAAATTAGCATCTGGTTCGCCCGAACCAATCCGAACCGGCTGAATTCCACCCCTGATGAATACCCTTTGAATGGTGTGGGAGTAGGAATGGATTTCCAGAGGAGAAAAATTGCAGACTACAGGAACCAGGAGCAGTACTCAGGTGATCCTGAGAACACAGATTAATCTCCAAGTGCTTCAACGACCTTCTAGGTTGAAGGATGCAAATTACCAGCTGTCGGCAAGGAATCTAAATCCTTCCATTCCCCACTATCCTGTTAGAGTTGAAGAAGCTTCTTTGATGAGAAATGAAACGTCTTCAAAAGAAAAAACAAGAAAGTCCACTTGCCTCATGAAAAAGCACCCTTGGGACAGTACCCAGAGAACCTCAGGATCGATTTAGAATCTGCACTGGTCCTGGTCCAATACTTTAACATAGGCCTAGTTCAACGCTTTAACAGCTACAACACATTATTATTTATACATTATTAAAAACAGGAATGCAATCAATTTCCACACTACTGACAGCCAGTGTGGTGTAGTGGTTGGATTAGGGCAGGGAGACTCAAATTCCAGTCTATTTTCAGCCATGCAAACTTAAGGCCAACTCAGTTCAACCCACATCACAGAGTTGGTATAGGGATAAAATGGAGAGAGATCCCCGGGTAAGCAGCCCTGCACTCTTAGGGGAAAGGAGGGAGTAAATTCACAAGTTGGAAAGCCTATTGTGAAATTAAATATAAAGAAGACACAATAGTCTAAGCAATATCAAAAAACCCCATAAAAACAAAAATAGAAGAATCAAAACACAACCTTCACACTAAACAGCAAACACTCTGAATGGTGATGTTGCTGCGGCACAAGCCACAAACCACTGAACCATAAACCACACAAAGTTACATAAAAGTAAAACACAGGAAGTATTTTATAGTCAACTTTATGTGAACTCTCCGAATGTCAGAAAGTCCTGCACATTTCATTTCAATAAAGGCAAGTAGAAAGGCAGTGAAGACGGAGCTGCTTTCCCAGGTCTTTAGTTCCACGTGAGTGGAGTCTAAATTATTAGTTGCAACACTGATTTTTAAAGTATCGTGTTTCTTTTAGTTTACGTGGGGTTTGTATTTGTAGTTGACTCCTGTATGCTACACAGTTTATTGAATTGGCTGGCCATATAAATCTTGCAAATTAATTTTATACTTAAGCATTACTTTTATCTTTACAAAGATGGCCCCTTGTTAGAACTGGACAATTCCCTGCTTCCAGCCTTCTAAGAGAATATAATCTTTGCAAGGGTGGGCTTCAAAAATTTTAGCAAGGGGTTCTCTGCCAAGTTGCTGTGTGGGCATGGCCATGGCGGGCATGGCCTACTAGGCCTCCTGCATCACAGTGGGGGGGGGCATTTTTGCTTTCCGCGGGTTCCGGAAGCTTTCCTCGAGCCTCCGGGAGGGTGAAAACAGCCTCCCCAGGCTCCGAAATTCCTGTAGGCCCATTTTTCACCCTCCCCGAGCTTCCGCACATACCCTGCACTTACCTGCATCCAAAACAGGCCACGTGGGGACTCCTGGGAAGGGTGGGGTGGACGGGGCCAGCCAGGAGTGGGATTTGGGGGTTCTTCAAACTGCACAGAATCTTAGCTAGAGGTTCTCCCGAACCCCCAGCAACCCACCCCTGAACCTTTGGCTGGAAAATAGATCTGGGAATCATCTCTCCACCCGGATTCCCTCAGCAGAAAACCAAATGGTGCATGGGACACCTTCACTGTTCCAAAGAATCATACAGGTAGTTCTCAACTTACAACCATAATTAAGCCACAACCTAAGTCATAAGTTAGGCCAGTCGTTAAGAGGGTCATCACATGACCGATCTGATTTTACAACTTTTTTTGCAGTAGTCATAAAACAAATGCCATGGTCATTAAATGAACACTGTGAGTCGCTAAGTGAATCCATTGTCCACAATGGGAGTATGTTGCCAGAAACTGGAAGTAAAAACTGGTTTTTTGGCAAAAAACATCATAAATTGTGGTCCCATGACTGCAGGACACTGCAAACAGCTGTAAAGGAGGGTACCAAAGGAGCACCCAAAGTGCCATCATGTGACTATGAGGAGGGGCACCAGAATTTCAAATTTGAGTCATAAGTACCTTTTTGTGGTTCCATCACAACTTTGAACAGTTGTTAAGTGACCAGTCCTAAGTCAAGGACTACCTATTTTAAATTCCTATTATGCTCCAATTTAGGTACACAGGTAGTCCTCGACTTACGATCACAATTGAGCCCAACATTTATGTTGCTAAGTGAGACATTTCTTAAGTGACATTTGCCTCAGTTTACAACCTTTCTTGCCACAGTTGTTAAGTGAATCACTGCGGTTGTTAAATTAGTCAAGGACTAACACGGTTGTGAAAGGAATCTAGCTTCCCCATTGACTTTGCTTGTGAAAGGTGATCACATGATCCCAGGACACTGCAATGGTCATAAGTATGAAACAGTTGCCAAGCATCCAAATTTTGGTCACATGATCATAAGGGTGCTGCAAAGGTTGTAACTGTGAAACACAGTCATAGGTCACTTTTTTCAGTGCCATTGTAACTTCAAATGGTCACTAAATGAACTGTTGTAACTCGAGGACTACCTGTACTATATGAATTTCATTTCTCATATTTCCAAGCTAGCATAGAACGTTACTTTTAAAAGCGTATGGTTCTCTGGCAAGAGGTGGTTGAGTTTTTAATTGTCTCCCTACTCTTTTGAGTCACCAGCATCAGCGCTTGTTTCTGCTACCAATCAGTGAACATCAACTCCCCATCAACTCCCCTTTTACGACTCTCATCACGTAACTAATTTGGGGATAGAGTCAGGGTGACTGAATGGAGCTGAGCGTTTACTAGCCGGATGCCCTTCCTAATGCCACGTAGAGTTCGCAGCAGATATTTTTTTCTTTGTGCCTGGGGAGAGAGAAACATTTGCCGCTACTTAGGATTGAACTCTCAACCTTCCGAATGGGAGGCGATTAGCTTCACCACTAGGCCACGCTGTAGTGAACATTAACATGATGATTGGAATTACAGGAGATAATGTGCCACAATTCGACAGCCTGAAACTCATGTTACAGTTGGAAGATCAAGAAAACCAAAGTATAAATGACTCAAGCAATAGGCAATAACAAACTATTTCCATATTGTTGCCAAGAAAGCTACATAGATATTTCACAGACTATCTTCTGAACTCAAGCTCGGCTCAAAGGAAACTTTTGTTTTAAAATATAGAATAGGAGGGCATAATGTGCTATCCATTGGCCCCCATGTAACAGTAGATTACCTTCTCTCTCTTTTTTTGGCAAAACTCCATGCTCTTCCCTCCTCTTTAACTTTATTTTTAAAACATGAAGAAGAAACTGGTGCAAAAACAAAATCAACTAAGCTAAGAAAAGATGTATTCAAGCAGGAAATTCACTTGGGAGAGGGGTGTGGACTTCTCTTCCAGTTCCAGAAACAAGCCAAAAATAACGTTATTTTTCCTACACAATTCTTAGAGTTAAACCCGAGCAAAATTAATGTCCAAAATTTGGCATTTCACTGAGTGAAATTTTCTTTTCAATAAAAGTTAAGACTCTTGACTTTAATGCACCAAGAGATCATTAGCCACTTCAGACCACTTCTTCTATGAAAAATACACATGAAGGCTGGAAAAATATTACAAAACCGTACGTGTTTTGTGTATTTCAAGGAACAGTAAAGAGGAAAACTGGCTTGCTAGCTGTTGAGTTAACACTTGTTTAGGTTTTTTTTTTTTTTAGTTTTTTTACTTTTTAGTTTACTTTGTCATTGCACTTTGT